CCTTCTCTTTGAACCACAAGAAAACGGTCAAACTGTTGTAGTACAGTAATTTCACCAATGGGTGGCACTGTTCTCTCTGTTTCTCCTCTGGCTAGCAAGTGATGCTGTTGTTCTCTGCTCACACTAAATAAAGCTCACGTTAAACTTGCAACACAAACTTGACAATCTAAAGGAAGTAAAAGTCAAAACTAGGCTTAGTAGGTGAACCTGCGGAAGGATCATTACCGGTGAGTATGCTATAGCTAGCTTTTAGCTAACTAGCTATTGCATATTCACAGGTATTTTGGAGGCTGCAGCCATTTCTGTCCACCTGTTTTCCTTCTCCACTCTACCGTGGTACAAAGTGGATGACACGTCAAGGAGAAGTTATTGCCCAGACCAGAAGGGGGGCCCAGAGAGCTGTCAAAATTCAAACTAAAGCAGTGACCCATTATGTGCACATTTTGCAATGACAGTTGGCAACCTCCCTTAAAGGGGCCCCATCTTACAGCATTCACTATCATTGCCCTCCTGAACACTTGTAGGAGGGTCAGCCAATCGATTTTAGCCTGGGGCCCCAACGATCTCTGGAATCGCCACTGGTTGTCCCTGTCACGCTTTCTTGCCTTTTAATCCATTTTTTTTTTTATTGAGCTTCCTTTAAAAAACAGAACATAGAAATCCATTTCAAAAAGATACCCAAGCCTTGCTAAGTGGCATTTCAGATTTTGAACTCCTTTATTTTAACGCACACACATTTTAAAAGATTGTCACTGATATTGATACATCTTATTCTTTTAGAAAGATACTATATTTGAGGATGACAGATTGTAACGTTTGTGAAGTTTAAGAGGTTGTAAGTGTATTTAATATAGTTGTGCTAACATACTGTTAAACATCCTAAGGCAGCAACCTTCTAAAGCGAATTAGATACAATGATATTTTTCATAAATCTTCTTTGCTATGGCTGATGTTTAGATTGTTATTACACATTCTATCATGTATCCACTTTCACTCTGTGTTGTGCAGGTGTTTTCAGGCTTAGAACCAAAAAAAAAGGTTTTAAACATTTATAAATTGGATATCTGAGATGCACTGTTGGATTTGTTACTTTTGACTTGGCTTTCTTTTTAGTATTCAGCGAGCAGAAACTTTTAAAGATGTCTACTCTCCTCCTTTCACTCCCTCTGCCTCCTCTCAGTTGGACAGAGGTTCTTGAGGTGGGAGAGAAGAGGAGTTAGGTGAGGTAAACAGAATGAAATGTGATGTATTTTTTCCATATATGTCTTTTCCTTTGTGTTCACATACATACAATATATTTTGCTCTGGCTTTTATCCTTTCACTTTCTCTCACTCACTCTCCTGAGTTTGAAGTCCCTCGACACCCTAAAGATTCAGCTGTCGCAGAGTGTTAATACATACTGACGTGTACACACACACGCACACAAAACAGTCTTAACAGGTCCATTAATGCTGAACGGCAGCGCTGCATCGAGCCATAAACAAGTCCACTTCCACCTGTTTAAACAGTTTTATGATCATCTTGGATCTGGATGATATTTTATGTGCTCAGACCATTAAACACATTCAAAAGTGTATCACACACAAAGACATACACACTCACCATTTGAATTGTTACACCTGTACCTGTTTAGTTTTTTGTGAAGCTGCATAACAGGCCACATAACAATAGATGCACATATCTTTGTAGGTCACCTTGGCAACAGCTTTCTAGAGGCAAATGATTTTTGTGGCATTGTAAAAAGGAAACAGTAACACACATAAAAGCATCTATAAAGAAACATGGAGTCCATTCATCAGCCCCTTCATGGTGGGAAAGGTGATTGCTTTGAGATGCTTCACATTTGCTTTACAGCCTCGTCGTTGGATTCAGTCCCTGCAGAACACCACGTGGGGATCTGAGCATTCAAGGCAGGAGGCTGCTGAGACTCTCTGTGAATGTCAGACGCAGAGACTAAGTGTTGGTGTGGCAGTATTTGCTTGCACTGCCATTCATAGCATCCTCACATCACTTTTGTTTCCGTCGTACTCTTGTCTGGCTTTCCTTAATCCTATTCTTCTGTGCCTCTTACTCCTACTCTCCCTTCTCTCTTTTTGAGGGATTTATTTTGCATAAAACCATAAGTATACACCTCCTTCTTCCATATATTTATCCTACTTAACAACATCCCTACCTATTTCTGCTGTTGATCCCTCACATAACACTACAGGTGTGATCACACACATATTTCAATTTCGTCTTTAGGAAACATTGCGGGAAATAGTTTTTTTTTGTTGTATTGTTGATTTAGATTTTTTTTGTTTTGTTTTTAAGCCAAAATTGATATCAACACAAAAGTGGCTTGTATAATGTTAACAGTGGTTTGGAAATCTGCAAGGCTAGAACTTTTTCCATTTGGCTAATCGAGCATGTCTTCATAACACCAAAATGTACTGCAACTCTAAAGTTGCAGTTAAAGTAAGTTAAAGCAGTATTTAATGGAATATTTCTCTCCTTTTCTGTGAATGGCACATTAATTAATTAAGCATACACTGTTGATATGAAGCTCCATGACTTTTTAATGGAAATAAAAAATTCTGTCATGGTATACGTTTATCTATCCTACTTTTATGTATCTTTTATGAATTTGGTGTGTCTGAAAAATTGGTTGAGGTGTCGCTATGTTTAAAAATGCCAGACATGTCTATTCTTGGCAACTCAGTAAATTAGACCAGAGAAATGAAGGCATTTCATCACATTGATAATGAAATCATAAATAACCTTGATCTGCTGTATCTTGTGTGAAAGGTTATTTTAATAAGGATTTATAAATCAAATATGAATCTATTAATGATAAGAAATTATGCGGGCTGATTACAAAAAGGCCCATATACAGCCCTTCCCAAACCTGAGATATTTAAATTTGTTTATTGTATATTTGGTTGTCTAAAACAGAATTATATTAAGTTTGTCTTGTAGTCTGCTGCCATCATGTGGAAAAAATATGCACTGCAACAAGATTAATACTTTGACATTCAAACATGCTATCTCAGTTATATGTGCTTTGTGAGTGTGTCACATTTCACTACAATGATGACATAGGGGTAGGGAAATACCAACCATTTGGAAATTTCCCCCAATATGAATCTGTGATAGAGCTTCTACTTCAACAAACCACAACTGCACAGTCACCTACTGAAGAAATGTTCAACCACAACATCACAAGGTAACGCTATTTATGGACAGGATGTAAACGGTATGTAATCTGGGTCAACATCAGGAGCAGAGATGGTTGATGAAGCAGACATAGTTTTAATGTTTCCTACAGTGAATCTACTCTTGTCAGTCTTGTTAACTACATTATAAACAGTAAACTGTGTCAAGTCAGTTTTTGTTTGCACATTTGTTAGTTGTAAAAATGTTCAAAGGTTCATAGGATTTGCAGGTCTTCCAATCTATATGATAAAAAGAGAGTTCATGAACTGCATTATTAGACAGAAATGTTATTAAATTCAATCAAATGTTAGAAGTTAGCAAAAGTCAGTTGTTTGTCAAACCCTGATATTAACAAACTCTAGTGCTATGGTTTAAGCAAAAGTTGCAATGTAAGCATTCAGTCTTCAGGACAAAGTTCTGGATAAGCTCAACTGAGTGTTGCCTAACATCCCAGCATTGTGACAAATAAGATGTTTTGTGTAGAAGTCAGGCATGTGGAATTTGATATTTTATATCCTCAGTGGCTTACTGCTAGAGTAAGCATATATCATATTAATATAGATATATAAACATTGCACAAAAAAGTCAGTAAATTTGAGTTTGGTAGATTATTTCTTTGTTGTAACGATGCTTCATGGCAATAAATCTTATACCGTTGGAAAGCCTGTTTATTTCCCTTTTAAATGGTGCCACATTTGTAAGGAACCTGCATTTGTGGGATGAGCAGCAGAGCTGAGTATGTGGGTTGTGCCCATGAAAAACTTGCCATATCTTCTCTGCCAATGCCAAACAGCTTATTCTGCTGTTGCTATTGACTCTTGTTTTGAGCTTCTCGCTGGTGCACCGGAACCTGAACATGTAGAGGAACCCCGATTCTGCCTACAGCAGTTGGCTCATAGGGTCAAAGTGTGGAGAAGACACAGAGAACGCTATGCTGATTTTGGTGGCGGCAGGTTGTTGGTGTGGGGCGGCATCTCCCTCACTGAAAAAAAGAGGCTTTTCATCATTGGAGGCAATCTCAATGTAGACAGATATCAAGATGAGATTCTGAAACCCAATGGCAATCCCATATCTCCACAGTCTGGGACCGAACTCTATCCTCCAAGATGACAATGCTTGCCCCCACAGAGCGGGGTTTATCAGAGACTACCTCCAGAATTTTGACTTTAACAGTTTTGACCTTCGAAACAATAGTTTGACAACAAAATCAAAAGTAGAGATCCATTTGTTAGCTCTCTCTGGAAATATCCTTCTTCATAAAACAATGAGTGGAAATTGATAGATTTTTTTTCTTCTCTTTGGTGGAAAAATTGAGGTTTTAGACATGATTTATAAGTTGGACAAAGTATTTTTCCATACATAAAGACACCTCCACCATGCTGTCCCAGTATAAGTGGTGCGCAGAAAAAAAAAAAATAATAATATCATGATGAATAGCTACATTAATTGGTAAGAATTTGTTCAAATGTTCTTTAAAAATGTGACAGGAAATGTTGGTACACTAGGATAGGATAGGATAGTACTTTATTGATCCCCAGAGGGGAAATTTGGGCGCTACACTATACTCTCTCTCTCTTCATGAGTAATGAAGCTACACCATGGAAGACATGAACAATAACTTCCACTATTGAGTAAGCCTAATCTGGGACTGCAGACTCTTCATTTTCCACCATATTGCTTGTTCTGACTTACTGGTAGTTGTTAAGGTTGTTTGACTGCAAATTTGCACCAATGAAATTAAGGGGGATGGGCCACTGAGAAAGAGTTATGGGAGGGACTGATTTGTCATTGAGTACAATTCTCAATAAAACTTTGACGAGAACATCAACATATCCGACCTGTGAAGGTAAGTAAGCATCTTTTTTTTTCATTTTCCCCCACACCTGTAGAGTGGTTTAAATACAATTCAGCTACCAATCATGCACTTACATCAGACCTGTTTGTTTTGTTTTTTAATACGTGTTCACTGCATGTAAGTCCTTGTCTGTTAGTTCAAATGTTTTCACTGTTTCTATTTCAGTGTTCACTTCTGTGGCTGTGTAAGAGGTCAGCAGCGACACAGTGCATCAGCTGGAGTGTTAGTGTGCTTCCTGTTAGCCATCACACCTCTGTGTTGAGCTGAATCCTCTCAGGCTCTGCAGGGGAGAGACACACACATATGGTAAGCAACGTTTCTGTCTCTTCAACAAGAAACAAACAACAGAACTTTGTCTTTGTATTATTTTGTTCTGGTTTTCAGTTTTCTGAGCTGTCAAATTAGATTAGACATTAAAAGTTTAACAGTGGATCCCTTTGCACTTAGCTTCATATAGACTGAGTCCAGGTGACTTGTGATTGCTTAATGGATTCACATTTCAAATCAATTTCTTTATGAAGCATAGGAGGAAACACAACATGTTAAAGTGCTTATTGGCATGCAATTGGAATACAAATATCAGGGATGTGTTGCTGTGGATACAACAGATTAAACATGCTTTTTTTTTAATCTCCCTATCTAACATGTAACATTGGGCCACATTTTGTTTTGAAAACGTCTGTCATTTCCTAGAATCCATGTATTTCAGTACTATTTAGGACCCAATAGCGTCAGCTGATTCGTTAATTGCAAGGCAAAATAAATAAATTATAAATTATATCTTGTAAAGTGTTCTGTAAATATATGTTTAATATGTTTATTTAGACCACTTTATGTCTGTTTATTTAACTACTCCACATTTTAAGTGTTGTTTTACCATTTTACTATTAATGTTTTACCATTTTCTTAAAGCTCCATCACGATGGAGGCTATGGCCAAGTACGACTATGAAGCTACAGCTTCTGATGAACTCAGTTTCAAAAAGGAAGAGCGATTAAAGGTGAAGGACACACACACACACACACACACACACACACACACACACACACACACGAACTGTTCAACACATTCACACAAACCACCAAAGCTGATAAATATTACTCTGACTCTTGGTTATCAGCCCCCTAGTCTACAATCTTTGAGTTCTAAATATCTCCAATATGAAAAATACCATTCAAATTGTGGTCTGTTGATATGACGCTGGCAGAATTTCCGTGTAAATCAATGATGCCTGTATGACAGGACATTCAGACTATTCATACACTGTGAATAAGGACAGTGTTTGCATCTTTGTGCCTCAGCACTTCTTTCCATTTTTTTTAAGGCTAGTTGTGAATATGTCAGGAGATATTGCATGTTCTGCTCAAACACATATTTCCGTTTTCAGTCACTACAATGAACTCTTTACTACCTTCTAGCAGACATTTCCTCAAATGGAAGAAAACATATATCGAAATTGAATGTAAATTAACAATATTCAAGCAGATGATGCTTCTGATGATGTTTCTCGTGTGACCACCAGCATGTGACCATTTCTGTTTGTTTAGCAAAAAGATGAAGTCTGTGACTCTCTGTGTATCACATATTTAAATGAGTACAGTAATAATTTACATGAGTAATATGCTACAAGGAAATAACAAACAGAGAGAAGAGACTGATAAAAGCGTGCAAAAAAAACACTTTGCATCCAAGAGACTTTTCACACACTGTAGGATAGAACACACACACACACACACACACACACACACACACACACACACACACACACACACACACACACACACACACACACACACACACACACAAATAAAGGTCCCTTTACAAGGCATGCTTTTCCAAAGAATAGGACCAGATTATTTTAAAAGAAGTTTCCAAGCAAATATTGAACTTGAAGTTTAACAAACTACTATTCAAAAGGAAAAAAAAAATGTCCCTCCATGTTGTTTGTGTTACCAATCCAATTTAAAGAAAATTAGGCGAACACTGAGATATGAAAGAGCAATGGCCTTGGGTTTGAGAATAGCTGAGCAGATAAGTCACACTCAATGTACTGTACATCTGCTGCATCTGTCCCGCCAACATTGCCTTTCCTCTTTGGCTGTCTTATTATTCAGGCACACATTGTCCAATAACTTAATGGGAAAGTTATTTGGACTAGGACTCAAGTTTAAACTTCACAGAGAACAATTCTTTATTTTTTGTCACACCTCCAAATTGGTATTAAAATGTTCCACACGTCATGGTTTTAAATGTTATCTCATAAATGAGCTGTTTAATTTGGAAGTTGATGAAGTGTGATACCTTGCATGTGGATGCCTAACGTTAGAGCTGACTTCAGTAAGCTGGTTTATGACGTAAATGTTCTGTCCTACTGTGTCAGATTCTGCAGACGACTGGAAACTGGTACAAAGCAGAATGCGATGGAGTTGAGGGGTTTGTACCCAAGAACTTCATCAACTTTCATCTGCCCAGGTAAACTTCAAAGTAAAGAAAATCAGTAGTTACCAGCTAAAAACTGAGAAGTGTTGCTGTACTTTACGCCTGTCCTTCTCTGCCTTCTCTTTGACTTCAGCTGGTACCAGGAGAACTGCAGTCGCAGTGACGCTCAGGGGCAGCTGATGTCGCAGTCTGTGGGAGCCTTCATCTTACGAGGAAGCCAAAACTCAGCCTCTGGTCGCTTTTCCATCTCTGTCAGGTGCTTTAAGTGGATCTGTTTGTCCATACACACATATATACCTAGAGCTATAATGAAGCTAGTTTTCAGCAACTAGCTACAGTTTAGATTTAAAGTACATTTTTTTGTCCTTCTACTTATGTGTGTGTGATGTTGTGCTGCTCTAAAGATGCTAGCATTGGCTCCTTCTAGACCAAGAATTGTCCCTTTTTTTTGTCACTCTCCCATCATTGACTGCTCGACTGAGCCACAATTAGCTCTGGTAGTTGCATCTGTTACTTATTATGTACTTTGTAATTATAACTATATGACCACACTTCCTGCAGCAGTCTTCTCGACGTTTCCACACGCAGCAACGTGACAATGCTTGTGTTCAGTAGCAGCTTAGTTCACATGCATCCCACACAGAAGAATAAAACAGATGCAGAGAGATCACAGGTAAGGTAAGAGTGAGTCAGAGACAGACAGTGAGGGTGCAGCATGTATTTGTTTGTGAAAAGGGGGAGGGCAGAGTATGGCAGCAGCTGAGTAGTGAGAAAGCACTTCATAAAGTTATCAGTGCTGTAAAGTTTTATTACAGTGATGTCATAGCAGCCCTTCTGTTCAGATTGACCTCATATTCAGCCTGGACTGTAAATTACAAACTGACCTGCGCTTTCTGTTAAATAGTTAACTTTTTGATTTCTTTCTGAAGGCCTTAATGTGGTTGATGTCTCATACCACCTCATCCTGTTTTCATGCGCCTCATTTGCCTTCTGTCTGTCATTCTTAAGCATCCTATTTGCATTTTGCTGCTTGTGGCCCTGACAGAATTGTAATTACATATTAGTCCAGAAACAGGAGAAAAGGCACAAGCCAAGATATTAAAACAAATTCTCAAACATTATAGAACACATGTTAAAATGAGCTAGACAGTGTTTGACCTTATATACTGTACACTTCTTCTGTTGTTGGCCTGTGGGTCAAATCCAGCAGTCTGGCCTTTTGCTCATTTAAAAGAGAAATACAAATAAAAAAATTAAATAAAAAAAAGCTTTAATTTGATAACAAGCTGTTAAAGATGAAGGAATTCAAAATATTCAAACTGAATTAATGTGTTAAATACAACAATCTACTTATTCATTGGATGCTGAAATGTTTGTTGAAAGAAAATTGTTAATCTATCCGATTACTTTTTATCACGTTTATTAGTCGTGTTTTTCTTGAGGCAGAGGGACATTAGCATGGTCGAAACAGTTAAGAACTCTGTTAATGCAACATTGTGTTCATTTAAACAACAATCTGGTCATCTTTAAGGATTACAGAGGGGCATCTTTAACACGGTAAAGTCATGGCTTTAGAGGTCACTCAATAGAAAGCAATGGCAGGCTCCTTGCACTCAGTAAAAAAAAGAGGTAGTTATAGGAACATCAAGTAGTTGCAGGGCAGTGCTTAATCAGCAGACTTGAGAAGAAGACAGGCCCGCACACTTGCTCAAATGCCACAAAAAGTTTGAACTGATCATCACGTTTCGACCAGAGGGCTTCTTCGGGTGATCATTTATGAACGGCTCATTGCACTTCCAATTTTGGATTTATTGTTTCTAAAAAAAAGTCATTAATATACCTGTAAGACTGTTTCATTTACTGAACAAAGGGTAAAGCTTATAGGACTTGATGTTACAATCCCTCTTACAGCAATCGGCACTTAACTTGATGTCTTGAATTGGGGTAGGAGCAATCACTTCATTGGGGTCATCAGGTGGGCTACCTCCTTCCTTGATGTTTCATATATAGATAATATATAGATAATTGCAGGAGGACTGCGCCGGAGATTCTCCCGACCTAGCCGTTCACATATGCTCCTCACAGCTGGAGACTATCCCTGTCAGAGGGGATTGGGAGATTTCCTGAGGTAAGACGTGACATAAATAAACAACGCGGAAGTAGCGGCCAAAGCAACAGAGAACCTCTGAGTAAAGTCTGCGCGAAAAATGTGGCTGTTTGTGTTCACATATAGCCTAAAACCCCTCCGGGTAGCCTAATCTCGTGAAAGGGGTTATTGATAGGCCCATGACATCTCCAGAAGGCAACACCTGGCGTCCAAGGCGCATCCCCCTCTGCTTTTACCCCTCCTGTAGGCTTATGTTCATCTACAGCCGTTGCATAGCTTTCTACCTCCTCCTGGTGACGCACCTCTGCTACTACAAGCTTTCTTCTCTGGCCGAGTGTTGCTTTGTGCCATTTAGGTCTAGTTTTTTCCGAGACCAAGACCACCTCTTCCACCTGACCAACAATGTCCCCGTGCCTGAGAGCTGACTTTGCCTGTTGTACAGCCTCAGTTGGGGTCCACTTCCTCCCTGTTGCCAAACAACTTTTATAAGATCATGTTTTCTTCTGAGAGGCGAGCAAAGCATCTTCTGTGTTTTACTCCACTGTAGACATGCATCAGATGTGCAGCACTTCAAGGTGTTGCAGGACAGCAGTGGGCAGTACTACCTCTGGTCAGAAAAGTTTACTTCCTTCAACCAGCTGGTGGAACATTACAAGAACAACTCTATCTCCCTACAAAGTCGAATATTTCTACATGAGATACAGCAACAGGTAAGAAACCAAAGAATGCATTAGACTTCCCAAAAAAAACAGTAAGCCCATCATAATGTACTTTTCAGTCACTGGAGAATAAGAATTATGTTAAAGTCGTTTATCATATTTGTGCCCTAACAGCAAAGTGATAAAACAACTGCCTCTGCTCCTCCATTACCCCCCAACTGCCCACCTATACCTGCACCACGACAGGTATGTCTTTGTTTGTCTGTGCACAAGCTGATTGGAATCGTCATGGTCTTTGAGTGACTGAATTTTAATAACCTGTGGTTGTATCCACATGCAGGATATTTCGTGCACATGTGCAGAATAGGGTTATAACTGAGGTCAGGGTTTCGGCTCTTATCTCGATTTTGGGGTCATGGTTCAGTAGGTGTAAGTAAAAAGTAACAATAAGTCCTGCATATATATACAGTATTAAGTTTTCTCTCATTTATTTCAGACAGTAGTGCAAGTTGCATTCAAAACAGCTGAGATAAGTTGTTAGACACCTGTCTTCTTTTATTTCTGTGACTTGCACATCTGGATGATGCTGTCTAGTATTCAGTCACATGTCTGACGTGTTTTCAATGACATACAGGACTGTGAACTAAAGTTTCCCCACACAATTGCCTACAGAGGCAGGCGGGTCTTCTTGCTCCACCATATCGTCTTGCTATCAAACATTACTCTTGTTCTTTAGTGTTTTTTTTTTTTTGTCAGCTTCTTATTCTTTGCAAACAGTCATGACTTCCTGCCTGAATTGGGGGGTAGATAATGCCATGTGTTTCTCCACTCAAGAAGCATTTTTTTTGCAGGAATGTATGTGAGTGCTCAGCTGCTAGTAACCCTGGTTAGATAACTCCAAGCACTCTCGACAGATAAACACAGTAAAAGTTGCACAACAGCAACAAGACTAGAAAGAGACAAAAAGTCAGCACACAAAAATGTCTTTTAGTTTTCTTTACTCCGGGTAAGGCAGCAACAACAACAGTAACATAGGCCTTAAACGTCCAATGTTTGTAGAAATCAGAAAATACACAGGAAGGAGCACTTCCTGGACTGAAAAAAGGGTTTGTTTAAGATGCTCTTTGGATTGGGATGCGAACAGTTGTAGAAAACAAGACAAAACTCCAAGGCCCGGCAGTCTTTCTTGTTTTATTCTTCTGTTTTCAAAAAAGAAATTTCAACCACAAAAACAGCGGTAAAAAATGCTTATTCTGGCATGATCCTGTCTACAAATCTGAGCAGACAGAAAGAGTTGATTAATGAATCTGTAAAGGTCAATGACACTAACAGTCATGTGACTAATGTGTTTAGGAGCCTTTTTGTTCTAAAATAGTGTTTTGTTTTGTTTTGTTGCTAATTTTGAGTTCATAGTTCCTGTATTTTCTGGTTATATTGTGGGGAATAAATACAAATGGTTTAAGTTAAAACAATCGTTTTAACTTAATCAACAAGCTACTGTAGTTGTGGCCTAAGACTGTTTGTGTGCTGGATTGGATTTAATGTCTGTCTCACAACCTGAATGTTGTTCATCCTCCTTTGTGTCCAGCACAAGGCCCCCCCCATGCCGCAGGTCAGAGCTCTGTACAGTTTCCTCGCTGAAGAGAAGGATGAGCTGGGTTTTAATGTCGGTGATGTCATCCAGGTCCTGGAGCGCCCCGACGCGGCCTGGTGGAGAGGCCAGCTGAGGGGCAAAACAGGCCTGTTCCCCTCAAACTACACTGTACCCCTCTGAGAGGAACACACACAGAATTGTTTTTAAAAAAGATTTCAGAAACTTTTCCAGCAGATTTCTACTGTCAAGTCTTATTACTTGACCCTACTTACAATAATTCACAAACATACAACAAGCTTACTGTTTAAGTCATTTTTAGGGGATTTCATGTATCACAGTTTTACATAATAAGAATCTCATTTAAGACATTCCAGAATTGATATGCACTTGTACAAAATGACTTAAGGATGACAATTTAAGTACAATTATTATGATATAAACAGATGAGGTTTATTTTAATTTAAATATATGTTATAAAAACACAATCAATGCATTCATCATTTAACCTCTCCTTTCAAGTAGTGGAATGTAACAGCTACATTTCACTGAAGATTTAGGTGATAATTTGCTAATTAAACACTTCATCTGTTTAGAAAAAGAAGACATGAACTGCATTTATCCCGCGAGAGGAAATTCAATTTCACACTGTTGTTGAACATGCTACACACACACACACAGGCTGTAATACATACACATGCACAAACAGGATCCTATGGACATATCCTGATGGAGAGAAGTCAGAGTGAGTCAATATAATAATTTGATGTATTCATTTTATGAAATGTGATTATGATGTGATTTTTCTGTGAAGAAAAGTGAAAACTGAGGGCAAATGCTTCTTTGTAAAAGTGAACATTTAAAAGTTATTATACAATAACAGCATCTGAAATATTCATAAATCCTCCCGTTAGTTAATATGCAATTCCACAAAATTATTTACTGCAAATTTACTTTCACGCAGTACAGAATGAATCATTAAAGAACAGAGAATATTTAAAGTTGAGTTGTCAAATTGAAACTGGGATTTGTCATTTACTGTGTTAAGGCATGTGACACAGACACAATCTGGAATGACCGTCATATAATTATGTTGTATCTGTGTTCATTACCTGGGAAGGTTTGTCTTTGTGCAATGAACAAGCAGTAGAGCAGCTATTAAACGTCTAAGGTGTCAACAGAAGCCATCTTTTGCATTCAGGCTTCTTCTGCAAGTTAAAAATTCTGTCAGAAACCTTTGCAATATTTAGTTTAAACATTGTGGCAAAAGAAATACAGTCTGGAAACAACATTTTATTCATGCTTCATTGAAAGGAAGAATGTGCAACATGTTACACAAAAATATAGCAGAAATCAAGTACATGCAAAATGTCTCTCTGGGTCATGACTTTCTACAATGAGTGAGAAGCGCAAGCCGTGTTAACATCATGTTTACATGGACGGGACGGCCGACTAAGTGAAGCTACAAGCTAACTAAAGTGTGCTAACATTAGCCCACCCAAAACAATGCAGGCCACAGACAATTTTTGTCCTCCGGTTGAGCTAAATTCCTCCGTGAGAACTCAAGTGAGGGTTGGAGGTGTGTCGCTGGAGGACAGCGGAAATGTTTAGTATGGCGGAGGTGCAGCCTAAAAGCAGTTTGTTTTGGTTTCATGTTGTAACTCAAGGGCGACATCTACTGGATAAAAAAATGTTGTACATTCTTCCTTTAAAGAAATATATCTATAGATATTCTATAAATCACACAGTTGGAATCCTTGTTTTCTGAATATGAAAGTTGGTTGGGTGTCAGTGTGTTAGCTTTTGATGATCTGTCTTACAAATTCTGCATTTTAGGCTGGTCTCCCTATAAAACATTAAACAATCTAACAGGATATGTAACATCTGTACATTAATTACCCCAAATATTGTCATTTGTTTTATCCAGATGAAAAAAAAACAAAAAAGGATTATACATTAGTTTTAAGTACCATTTATTTATTTACTGAATGAGGACAGTGCACATTACTCAACATATCAGTAAATCACATCCATGTTAATATGCCGAAATTAGCAGAAAAACTAAATTTCATCCGCTAACAAAAAAACATAACAAACTTACAGGACCCCCCACCCGGGCCAGTCTACAGAACCGCACACAAAGGAACTCAAACAATTGTCCAAAAAAAACTGACACAACTTACACATAAGAAATAACAGTGCTTGTGCAAGACACTTAACCCTGCATTGCTCCCGCTGCTTCGGTGGCGGTGTTTGAATGAATTAGAGTTGTACTTACTCTCTGATGTATGTCGCTTTGGATGAAAGCGTCTGCTAAGTGAATTGTAGAATTGTAGAAGGGAAGACAGATGTTATATCAGTACATGATGGTTTGTTTTTAACCAGTGTTTTAGCTTATTTTAGAGGTTAATTAGTTTTCACAATCCCTGATATGTGCTTGTCTTATTTGTTCCATGAATTATTGAAACGACAGGTGTTATAATGATGTGTTTGTTGAAACAAAAAGCTAAAGTTATTCAGTTCAATTTAAAGTATATTTAACACATTGCAACTGTGAACATTATTTTGAAACTGTCAGAGTATTTTCAAATCTCTGTACAGTTTACAAAATTGTAAAAGGCTATATGTTTTAATTGCACATGGTCCCTTACAAATTAAGTTAGATTGAATTGAATATTAGGGCCAGTTGTAACATCATACGTCTGCCATTAATCAATATATCATATGTTATCATTTAAAATGGTAGGCAACAAGTGAAAAGCAGGCAGGTTTAAGTTGGATACATTTATCTGTGGTTGGTCCAGTCCAGAAAGATAATCATCCCCAGCCTCCCCTAATTCATGGCTGACAGCGCCTTTTGTGTGCATACATGGCAGTAGGTTTTCCCGTTTGTACTTGAATGCAGCTCTTTCCCGAGCCCCACCTTTTCTGCCAGTGCCTCGCGCACAGGTAACAAAACTTTCTCAGCGTTAGTTACCTGTGTCGCGTCACTCAGCAAACACGCCTACATGCTGTGAGGAGACTTACTGGGCTCCAGAAGTGGTTCGCCGCTGCCACAGCCATGGCCGAATCCCAGCTCATGTGCATGGAGGACGGTCACATCGGTGTCAATGTGCCGGAATCCAAACCCGAGTTTTACTACAGCGAGGAGCAGCGCGCGGCCATCGAGGAGCTCCTCAAGAATGGCGACGGTGCCTTCAAGACGCGACTCAAAAATGACAACATGAAAGACTTTCTGTCGGCCAGAGAAGTCAAACTTGTTACGAGCACCTTTAAACAGTACGACTCGGGTAATGAGGAAAGCGGCAGCAGCCAGGCGTCAGCGTCCGGTACCGACGCGGACTCAGGGGTCCACTCCACATACTGGCCCACGATGTCGGACACGGAGGTGCCACCGCTGGATAACGGCTGGCCCAACGGGAGCGTGTTTAGAGGGGTGACCCGGGTTGCCGTGCACACACACCCGCCTAAAGAAAACGGACCTCACATCAAGGAGGTGGTGCGGCGGCTCATCCAGGAGGCCAGCAAGGTGGGAAGAACACGGGACATGTCTTCATCGTCATGACACTTAAAGGCTATAACAAGTTTGAATAATGAGCCCAGTCATTACGGAGCAATTATAAAATGCCATGATACTATACAGGCCTATCTTGTTTTTAAACTCCAAAGTACCAAACCATATTTAAATGATAGGATATCAGTTTTTATTGTGAGAAATAAATCACTGCAAAGGCAATTAGATCTGAGAGAACATTACAGATAAAGTTGTGAGGCTGTCACTAAAACACAAGGCTAATGCTGTAGATTGAGATCACAGGATGTAATGGAAACAATGGGGAAACCCAGTTCTGTATACTCTGGCAGCTAACTAAACACACTTAACAGGAAGTTACAGTCACTTTATTACCTGAATGATTCCTGCGAATTCCAATGGCTTCTTTCTCTTTGGCATCACTTTATAACACACCTACACTACTGTCGTACAGTATGCCTGACCACTTGGATACATTGAATTGGAGTAACTGACAAGATAAAGATAGGCTTTTGTTGCGGGGCAGAGATAATCAAATTGGTTGAGCTTTACTCATTAAGTGAAAGAAACTAAATAGCAAACAGAAAAGGAGAGTTGTTCATTTATACATTTACATTAAGGCTTCACGGCACGGTCAAGAAATCAGATTAGGTTTATGATGGTTGCTTCCCTTCTTAGTGTCCTTATGTTGTTTGCTGATTGCTGGCTGTATGTATTTTACTGCTGACTGCAAAAGAAAAAGTCCTCTCTCAGGGATAATAAAGACAACCTTGAACCTTGAGCGAACCCATCAAGCTACTAATGGAGTAATGTGTGGTAGATCAGTAAGTCCCTAAAATCAACATCTTTTAGTTCTCTTTTATAGGACCCAAGCCAGCTGGTACCCATTGGGGACATTCTCTAAAAAAACAAACAGTCATTCATTACTGTATTTGTGTTGTTCTTTTTTCTTGTTAAAATCAATTAATTATCATCTAAAAACTATCAAAATAACTTCGGGAGAGGAATTTCCTGCGTTTCAGAGCTGGACCAGACACAGAATTTCAGATAAATCTGATGGTGCTGTTCAACATAAAGATTGGATGATTCCTTTTCTTTTTTTTCATTCAGCACAAAACTGAACTTCTATATCAGCCAAAGTCTCACATTTTACCTGTAGGATTAACGTTTCTCTGTTGCTAAAACGTCATTTTAAACTGTCATTTACACAAAAGGAGGGAATGCTCTGCTAATTTGCTCCCAGCCCCTTGAAGACCCCCCGAAAGTGTCAGAGATGCACCGTGATACTGTTTTATTCAATTGTTTTTTTTACAGGTTTGAATAAGTTGGTTTGCTTTGGAGTGGAGATCCATTTTAATAATTCAGCTTTGGTAAAACCTCGTAAATGATGAAAACTGAACCGTCCTGACCTAAAAATGAGTTGAGCACTTACACACAGACCTTCCTGACAACTCTCTCTGAGCTCTGATTTTAAAAATGAAAGGCTTTATTTAGTATCTTTACCATTAAAAAGTATTGTGTTTTTTTGAAGAGAAGACTTCTTTGTGTGCTCAGAAGATAAAATCCTGTAAACATTGAACACTCTCATCTTCAAACACTAGAGCTTGGTTTTTGATAAAACAGTTAAAAATAAAAGTGCCTAAATGATTGACTGTTGACTTGAGTTGTCGACCCTTAGGGTATCGTTGGGGAGAGACCTTCACCAAAGTTCACAACAAACTTCTTCTTCAGAAGTACCTCTGTGTCCTACAGTAGCATTAAGATTTCCTATAACTTGAATTCAGATCGCACACTATGAAATCCCCTCTCCCCACACACACACACACACCAACAGTTCAAACCGGCATGTTGAAGGGGATGTCCAAATACGATTGTCCATTTAGCGTTTATCAAAATACCACCAGCCTAGTTACTAAGCAACACAAAAGGTGTCTTGTGTCTTAGTTTTATTTCCATGACTCAACCTTTTATCTGCATTATATTCATTTGCTTAAGTTCCAGTGTGAGTAAATGAATGTTGAGAGATTAATACCACCTCAAGCCGTAACACGGAGCCTAAAGTGGGCTTGTGTGTTTGAGTTGCTCATCGAAATGTTTACTCATGGACTGCTGGAGCTCCACTGAGTCATTTGTTCCGTACACTCAGAGTTACAGAAGACAGACTCTGCTAAGCTCAGCCCATGTTTTAAAACTGGGTCAGTGAAGATTACAGGCACACTTGTTGGATACATTGTTTAATTTTTAAATGTCTTTATTTTGCAACTCATCTGTAGATTCTTTATAGAAATCCCCTTCATTTCTTCTCCAGTGTTGCCCTTCCTCTTCATTCCATAGTTTTGTTGTTTGTTTCCTTACTTTGTTTTTTTTACTGGGTTAGGTACTTAATCCTAACTGGTTAATTACAACATTCTGAGATCTGTTTCTCTAAAGTAGAAGTCCAGTAAGTCTGACATTGGTCTGTATACTGAGAGGAATCAAATCAAAGAGACAAGGATAGCAGAGAGAAAAACAGGTTCAAAGGTTTATCCTGGTCCAAGTTGAAAACTGTAGGAAAAAGTAGATTAAGGCAAATAAATCTACAAAGCTGAAGATGGTACATGAAGTAAACAGTAGATGGAACAGTGTTCGGGATACAGCGGTGTTTAGAGACTGGTGAAAGGAAAAAGAAAATGTCCACATCATCTGACAGTGATGAGGCAGACAAACCATATCATGTTTTCCTGATAGTCCCAGTCACCTTGTCTCACTTCACCATAAGTGGAAAAGCAAACACATCTCCAACTGTAGACTCCCTTCAAGAAAAGACCCATTGATACATTGTGCTTTACTTAAATCATTGTCACCATCCGATCCAACACTATTTACCGTACTTAACCTACTACACTTACTATACTGTAGTCACTGCTTGTGTCCAACACAACCACTGGCCCACAAAATACAGCTCCTTCCCCTGCTTGCAAGCTTCTTTATAAAGGTAGTGATTTATAGTACGCACATTGTTCCTTGCTTCCTTGTTGTTCTACCTTTCAGTTATTACTTTGTCATGATCGAGGAACAGCAGGTTTGTGTACGTCATCTCAGTGTTTCGTTAACTAGTAAAACACCTTTGATGTTTTTTCAAGATAAACTGCACATTTGAACTGGCAGCCCATGTTTATGGGTGTTCCCTTAACTTGTCAGAGAAAGTACTTAAATGAAATAGAAGGCTGTGTTGCTTGGTGTGCTTGTGAGGAATGTTTGTAACATCCCAACTATGTTGTGTTTGTCAGAAAGGCAAGCGTTCCCTTGAAATAACACACACACAGATGCTAATGATAAAACAAGCTGAGGAACCAGTTTTCATTTCAGCATCATACCCGTCTTTACAGGAAGATATTAACTTCCTTCTGATTGATTTTCTCTTGTTTTCTCCGCCTGTGTACTTCACAGCATTGAGTCTCGTCCCCACACGTCCCAGCTTGTATCTTTGTTGTAACACACACACAGGACAACTCACAGTTTCCTCGAGTGGGAAACAGAGTCAGTGTTTCCCCTACCATTATCCACAACGCCCCCCTTGAAGGTCAAGTCAAGTTTTGGGGGTTTTTTTAAGTTTTTTGGGGGGCTTTTTGTGCCTTTATTGTAGAGATAAGATAGTGGATAGTCGGAAATCAGGGAAAGAAGTCATTTAAGGATACCTTTCCTTTAAAAGTAATGCATGAACACCAAGATTCCTTCAAGTGTTTTGTGGAGGCGTGTCAGCGTGTCGGCGTTCCCCCCCCCCACGCTGTAAACCTAGGGGAAACACTGAGAGTGGTGTAACTGCAAGCCTTTTCTGCCTGACTGAGAAACATTTGTTGCAAATTTAAAGAGAAACATTTTTTTCTATGACTTTGCCTTCAGTGAACAGTGAAACTATCTAATAATACACATCTCCCAAAAACTACCCCTGTGATCGGGCTGAACATGTCCCAACATTTTTGATAAAGACAAAAGTCACTATCTTTGTATTGTCTCTTAACTTCGTCCTACACTTCTTTATTACATTGTAAGGAATTCACCTGCCACTTCCACCAGAGCGTGTTCTGATCTTTAACTGAACACACGTCATCTACAGTCAGCAGGGACAAAAAATGCTGCTCTCTGTCATCTTTCTGCCCATCCCAGACATCAATCAAAATATCTTCACTACAGAAGAAAACCCAGATGAATTCAGATTTAGATATTGAATAGTCATAGATACTGTTAATTATCAGTAACACTGTAGCCCTTGTGTAGTGCGGCATAAATGCCCAACATAGCGTTAACTACAGTACTTGTAGTCTATCCAAGAAATGTTTCCCATATATATTTATCAGCACGACACAAACTGTGTGAGGCAATACACCTTTGTTTTCCATGACCTAGTGGCCTTTTCTGAAGCTATTTCTTTAATAAACCAAAAACAGTTTTGCCAATGATCAGAACAGTCACAGGTTCTTGCTGGCACTTGAATGACAATGTGCTAGAATATTTAATATAATGTTTTATAACTGAACTTTCACTTCAGTTTAAGGAGTTTAGTCATACACTCACGACGCGGGTTCAAAGAGAAATTATGTAATAACAAGGTTTGGTTGTTCTCGATCTTATTCAGGCATGCATGTGTGAAACAATTAAAAGCGACGCCCATATTTATGTCTGTACAAAAAACATTAGGGCTTCAAAGCTGTGTGGGGATGACAGGTGTGCTTCACGATGCAGACTGCTCAGTTTTATATAGACGTACAAAAACAAATAGTATTCAATCAGAGTAATTAGAAAACAGAAACAAAAACCATAGAGAACAAAACAAAACTGTATTCTAACAGTTGTATTGAAAACAATCACTCCTGCAGTACTTTTTGTAAATACACTATCAGGTCTAAAGATGTGAATGTCGACAACCAAGCACAGACTGTTGTTAAAATTTCTAGTGCTAAGCCAAAACTTATGACCAGAAACCGTTAGTGCAACACATATCACAAAACGTTCAAGGCAGTGAGTGACTGTCTGCTACATGGAAATCAAAAAGACATGCAGCAGAAACACTAGAAGGAGTGTGACTGCACTGGGAAATCAGATGAGTCTGAAGTGTTCTAGTCTCCCTGGTTTTTAAATCTCTGGACTGTAAAGGTTCTGTCTTTCTTATTAGTAAACGTTCAGTAGGTTTTGTTCCGATAAGACATCCCCTGCTTCTTGGAATGCCTTCAGTCATGAGTAAATACATGTACTTTATGTGTTAGTGGGTATGGTGGTGCTGCTGGGATGTCGTTAAAGGATGAGTGTTTGAGAGGTTGAGAGTGAACTTGGTGTCTGTCATTGTCACGGATGTGTCCCTTGTTAGGAGGTAGAAAGAGGCGGTGTTCGTTGGAGTCGTTTTTTGTTCCATTGAACTCAGGACGGTTTAGGGCTGCACAATAATTCATTTTTTAAACTATCATGAAAACCTGAACATTTTGCCAATCCGACGGATCACCAGCTTGTTTTCAGCTACCCTCAGATTCATTTGTGACTGGTTTACTAATGCTGGCTCTGCAGCTTGGGCACTGATGGATTCAGGGAGACGGGGAGAACCTGGAATAACATAACAAACAGAAAACAGAACCTGCAATAGATGTATGTTATCGATGCAGCGATAGATGGGCTGATGTTTGCTTTACATAATGTGGTCTGAAACTGCTGTATTAGCTACAACACTGATGATCAAGGCAATGGTATTTGGTGTAATTAACATTTCAGCCACCAGGCGTCATGTTTCATGTAGACTTTCAGATTTGTTAAAACTTTCTGTAGTTTACATTCATCAAACGTGTGTGTACTATTAAAACTCTTAATTTGCACTCCATAGCACTGTTTTTTTTTTTTTTTTATCTATTCAACGTCCACTTTGCCAAGTGTCAGTTGAATAAACACAGCGGCTGTACCTGTTGAAGCCTTTATTTGGTCAAAGTGAAGAGCAGACTTTGCTAATCCTCACACTTACCAGGAGAAAGCAAACGCTGTATTAAAGCCTTTCTCAAGACAGAGACACATTGAGATCTTAAATTCCTCCACACATCCTTTTATGTTGTTATAAAACTCTATCGCAGGGATCTGACTGGAACTCAGCAGCAGGAGATACAGTTGTTTTCTGAGAGCAAAGGCTCTTTCATATGGCCTAACTGGGCCCTCTGGGTTGAGTGTGTCAGTGGGAGGCAAAGTGCTTCGGTTAGACAGACTGGCTTCACCTGCTGCTTTCTTTTTTAAGGTCTGTTAGAAGACAGTCTGCCTTAATGCACTTAATTGTACTCTTTTATTAACCTTTTAAGGGAACATACTTTATATGGTCCAGAGTATCAAAAGCAAACACCCTTTCTATTTTAACTTTAACTTCTTTTTGCTTGCCTTATTAACAACACAGACCCAACAGGGAGTCGTATTTTTTCCAAAACATACATTTTTAAATTTAAATAAATATGATGCTGTCAATAATAGTTCAGTCTTAGCAGGTATTTTCAGACACACTGTTTTTTTTTTTTTTTTTATTATTATTAATTCAAGCTTTCAACACCATAAACTTCTCCCACATGGCAGTGACTCTTTGAGATGCTGGAATGAATTAGCTGTTCTGCTGCTTTTAGTTGCAACTGATTTAGTCCAGACCTTACAGCAGAAAGCAGGCCTTAGGTCACTTGCTACAAATTTGCTGAAGAGAATCCTCTGGTTTTTATCAAGTAAAACCCTTTTCACACATCCGGAAATCTCCTGAAAAACTCCAGAGATTAGTCTACCCGGAGGTTCTTTAGGCTATGTGTGAACGCAAACAGCCGCATTTTTCGCGCAGACTTTACTCTGAGTTTCTCCGACCAGACCTCTGGTATTTTATCTGCAGAAAATCTGAGTGAGCTGATGTCTGAACGCGGCCGAATAACTCCGGAGATTTTCAATTTGAGCCAATGGGAAGAGAATGACCTTTATATAGTGACCGGCTAAAGTGTCTGCATGCGACCACTACGATCTCCGTGCACGTAATTAAACGGCTGCATTATGTTTTCTGTTTGTCAGTATGTTGTTCTCCGCTCTTTTGTGGATGTTGTCATTCCATTGGATTACACATAGCATTGATATAAAGGCAAATATTCTCATTATAACGTCGTGTAGTGGACTCTGTTGCTTCGGCTGCTACTTCCGCGTTGTTAATTTACGTCACGTCTTACCTCAGGAAATCCCCCGACCCCCCTCCCCTCTGACAGGGATAGTCTCCAGCTGTGAGGAGCATATGTGAACGGCTAGGTCGGGAGAATCTCCGGAGCGGTCATCCTGTAATTATCTAGATATTATCCGGAGTGCATATGTGAAAACGGCTTAAGGGAGCTCATTGAAGCCAGGGCAATGATGTACTGTAGCTCCCAAAGTGAATATTAGAAATCTTTTTCTTCATTTTTAAATTAAAAAAAAAAAAGTGTCAAATATCCTGAGGCAAATGTTTGAATTTTATTATTTAATTGATTAACCATCTAGCTCTTCCAGTGTGAATTAGTCATTAAATCATGAATCGCTTTAAGATCAAATATTTTGCTTGGCTTCTATCCAGTGAATAAAATGTCTCGCTCTGCCAAGCCAAGAATGTTTCCTTTATATTTATTTTGGTATTTGTGCTTGTAGGTAGAATATGGTGGAGCATTTAGTTTGAAATAGGTTCAGATCCTGCAGTTTGACTGTATAACTTACTTTAATTATAACCAGGATCTGCCAAACATGTTAATCAAATGTATGTTGAATTTAAACATTAAATATTGAACTTCTTCTGTCTCAGGTGATAGCGATAGTGATGGACATGCTCACAGACGTCCACATCCTGCAGGACCTGATGGATGCGGCCTTTCGTCGCTCCGTACCTGTTTACATCTTGTTGGATATTCAAGGTGTGCCTCACTTCCTGGATATTTGCTCCAGGCTGCAGATTGGCTCACAGCACCTTCGGGTAAGACAACAGCTAAATGAGATAGATGTTGCACAATATGTAGCAAGAGACATTGGACACATTAAATAGAAAAAAATTGTTTAATTGTCCATATCATTTTTATACAAAACCAGTGCTCAGAAAAGCAATGTATAAAACTTTGTTATCAAGGGAACATTTAAAAAATGCATAAGCATGTTTTTTGCCACATTGTAAGAAATATTTTAGATGTTTATTTGATACCAATTATTAGATAAAACAGTGTAAAAATAAAAAAAGCTATCACGTGCATCAGTTCCAAACACAGTCCTTAGAGACGAGGTATTTCTTCTTGCATTGAAGCAATTGTTATACATTCATGAATCCTTTTTTTTACCAGTCATTTAATTTTCTTGATTGAAGTGTATTTGCTGAGCTTGAATGTGTAAAGTTCTTGAGCCTTAGTGGAGTTTTTTGTACACTGCAAAAAAACAACAACTTTCAGCTCTGTTAAAACTGGAAGAAATCCTAACTAACAAGAAATCACAGCCAGAGCGATGTTGTGGCTTCATTGAGAAAAGCTAGGCTACATGACTTGTTTATTAGCAAATTTCATTCACACAGTATGGTCACAGTATTAACCATTAACTATTTATTAGCATGCTAATTAGTAGCGTACTGGCTGCTTATTAGATATTTTTACACTAAAGTAAATCTTCTTAATTAGAAGCCAGTAAGCTACTTATTAGCATGCTAATAGGTAACTAGTTAATAGTGAATATTGTGACCTTAATTGAAAGTGTTACCCACATTTCTTAACATTTAGAATTAGATTCCACATTTTGTAACTGACTCAGGTGAATTCCTTTTCTTTTTTTAGCCCATGGAAGATTTCTGTTGCTCTAAACCCTCATGATTTTTTAATAGATGTGTTCGACAATTTTCAGATTTAGAATTCAAACAGTCTCCCCTGACTAAATACAATGTCCCCTTGTTGAAGTAGTTAATTGTGTTGATATCCTCTACACGGTCTGACTTTGATCCTCTCTAACTGCAGAAAATTCGAGCCAGATCACTTCAGGGACTCGGCTTCAATCTGTCCTTCGGCAGACTTCCTGGTTCTCTGTGTAACAAGTACATGCTGGTGGACGGAGACAAAGTGGTGTTTGGCTCGTACAGGTGAGATCTCCTTATTATGAGTGAAGTCAGTTCATGCTTTATCATGGACCATTTTATACCTGTTTAATGATTCATTCCTCTTGATGATAATCTGTGTGTTGTGACGTACTGTTAATACTGTTTTAAGTCTTAGATAAACATTAGTGTGAGAATGAAATCAACAATGTGTATTGTTTGAAGGTTTAAAACTTTGGTTACCTCTAGTATGTTGACAAACTTGTATTATATTAACTGGGGTAGAAGAATAATTGAAAAAAAATGAAATTAGGTTCAAAGTTAAAAAATCTCAAAGATAGTCCAATTTATTTGAAGAAAAACGCCTATCATTAAAATACTATATATTAAAATTATATAATGAGACAACAAGCATTATACCATTAATAACAAGTCATACAAATCAGAAGCTGGAATGACATCAATGGTTGAAGCTTTGAAATGAGACAACACTTACACTACATTTTCTTTACGCTTTAAAATCTTTAATCTAACAGCTACCTTCGTGTTTGATGCTGACTTTTTGAAGTGTTTAAGCATGTTTAATGTTTAACATTGTATGCAGCTGAACATTTTACGAAGAAGTGTGGCACACAAATAGTAATGAAGTTAATAACTGGTGTCAAACTTGTCTCTGTTCCCCCAGTTTCTCCTGGTGTACATCTCGTATGGACCGGAACATGATCACTGTGATGACGGGACAGGTGGTCGACTTCTTTGACCGGGACTTCCGGGAGCTGTACGCCATCTCTGATAAAATGGACCTGTACAAGGAGTTCCACGTCAGTCCACCTGCTGCTGACAAGACTGCAACAATAACACGCTCCAAAACGGGGCCAAAAAGGCCACCTTTACCTGCAACCACGTCCCGCTTCCAGGTCAGCTTAGGGGATTCACCGAAAGGTGACATCCAGGTGCCTGCTCACAAATACTACAACCCCAAATACTCACTGGTATTTGGGGACAACCCCCCACGTACACCGGCTTCTCTGCAGGAGCCTGGACCCAAGAGAAAGTCCACTTTGGCTGAGGTTCTCGAGGAGATGGACCCTGAAGAGCCACGAGTGGCGAGCAGTGACAAGACGGAACGCAGGGGTCCGCTGCCTTCAGTAGACCCGAAGGAAATCTTCAAGAAGCCAAATGGGATCAAACCAGAAAAGAAGGGACGGAAGACACTGAAAGTCAACTGGAATAAATTGTCCAGTAAGGATCCAGTCAACAGCCATGTGAATAGTACAACACCCCCACCCACAGAAACCAACAGAACTGAAGAGAGCGAGGACAGCTTTGAGGTTATTGTGAAAACTCCAAACAAATGGAAAAGTAAGAAGATGTCTAAACTGGGCCGCAGATCAGAGTCTGAACAAACTGTCAACACTGGACAAGAAAATGAGAGTACGTGAGAAACATATTTTTTATGAAACAGCAATAAACATGAAACTGTGCTTTATCTTAAATAAACAGGATAGGGAATAATTTCTCCAATAATGGAAGAAAATAACCCTCTGTCATGTTTTTTTTTTTTTTTTTCATTTAAAAAGTAATGAACTCTACTAAATTTTTCTGCGTACTCACCCTTTTTTGTGTTTCCGTTGTAGGTATTACGAGTCAGCGTCGTGGAAAATCACCCTGCAAAGTTTCCTGAGGTCAACCTGCCCACCCAACCACATATCAGATTACATTCTTGAAATGGTTTACAGTATGACACCAACAATACCTTTTGAATGTGCAATAGTGTTATTCTTTTATAAGCAGCGCCTCACAGAGACAGAATGGTTGTGCAGTCTATCGTCACTTTTTTTTAAAAGTTTTGTGCCAAATTTAAAAGGCAAAAAATCAATAATATGCTACGCTAGAGATGTTACCCTGGTGGGATGCAGACAGAGAGCTTTAATGGGATATTCCCTGGTGGTAAACAACATTTAGATTGCTCAGTAGATTTTGGATCAGTGCATTTTCAGTGTTTACGTTGTTACTGGACCAACTGTGAGATAGTTGGTGTAGTGCAAGTTAAATACACTAAGGGCAAAAAACAGACTACAGAGAGTTTAAGAGAAGAAGTTTTCTGAGGTTACAAATAAGATACACATTATCAAATATCCCAAAGTGGATCAGCTTTAATTTCAAAATAAAGAGTCCAGATCAATATGACATACAGTATCTCCAATGATTCACTTAGGCTTTCTCTGATGAAGAGAAATCCAGTCTTGTTTTATCCTCATCTAATATTTTTGGGCGAGTGGATCTTCAGATAATTCATGAAAATTTGCTGGCCAAGTCTGCTTTAACAGTTCCCTACATTACAGCCACTGCATTTGCCTCTTTTGCTCTCAATTCAGACGTTCTTCTAAATGCAGCTAAAGCCTGCTCAAATGTGATTGGTCACGATCAAGCAGGTTACAAATCTAACGCAGAACTCTTCCAACATCAGAAGAAACCTGAAACTGGATATAATCTAGAATTTACGGATTTCTCCCACTGATAAAACCAAACCAAAAGAACGTGCCTTACCCCTGATGATGAGGATATTTTTCTGTGGTGTTACTTTTCTGTGATCTTGTGACTATTGTCACAAGATAGTCTTGTTCCATAGTGATTGTTTCTGTGTCCATTCACACTTTTATGCTATGATCTCTTGTACATAGAGTGCTCAATAAATGGTTTCAGAATACAAAGAGCTTTAAATTAGTTAATGACATTTTTCATGTTTTATAGAAACTGTCCTGTATAGGTTGTGAGGCCCATATAGAGCCATTTTTCTTTGCTCACTCTTTCCTGAACATGCTTGTGTTTATAAGCGTGCTGTTACTTGTTTTGCCTGACACTGACGCAGTGGCAGGAATTACAGGCATTGTTTGCTTAAGATAGTCATAAAAAGGAATCATTTTTACTTTCAGCCTGTTTCATAACCCATTAAAAACTATTTCAGATTGGGCTTTGTTTTTAAATCTGAAAAATGTCCAATAATAATAAAATAATCATCTTCTAACAATCATTCTGTAACACAGCCAGATGTCCACTGGGTTTCTTACTGTAGTTTTGGTATTTCAATCATCCTTGGCTTTTTAAATACGTTGATGACAGCTCCGTCATGTGTTATGATACAGTAATACTCCAACATTTCAAAAGGAGAATGATGGCTGCAATGCACAAAGTCTCCACTAGGTGCCTCCCTTGTCCTCTCTTCCCCAGCTTGTCTTTTCTGGGTGTTTCTGACAGCGGAGACCTCAGAGAGCGACCGCAGGCTTCTATGCAACTCTGCGTTGAGTTAAGGTTAAGACTGATGTAGGTTGGGTGATGTGGTGCAACACTGAAACAGGAAGTCAGAGATGTAGCAGGAAGAGGCGCTCGTTGCACAAATATATCGACAAGGTTTACTGTCAAGACAGTAAGCATGCAATTAGGTTGAGTTATTTTTACTGTAAGTATTTCCTAAATGTTTAGCATTAAACGTGACTTGTCATATATACGATAATAAGAATGGTAAGACCTCTTTTATGAGATCTCTTTATATTTAAATATTTTTACAGTCAATTTCTCATCAAATGTTTCACTTAATACACAGATTTCATTAAAAACTTACATATTAAAAAGGAAGCTTCCTGTTAGTGGCACAGTTTGGATCAAATTTGGTGTCGCTTATCTTTTTACGTATTTAATTGTCTTATTCTTCTATATAAAATAGGGATAGTCAACATAAATGAACATAAACATGTATATAGGAAAGGTTATAGCTGTAGGTTAATTTCACTCTGTAGTCCATTGGCAGGTTGGTGGTATACAAGTTTACATAAAAACAAAATGACGAACAAAAACCAAAAAAGTAATGATCAAACAACATAAACTGTACATTGGTTGACAGAGACACAAACATAAAAAGTGGCTGTGTGTTCTTGCTGATGGTTGTCACATTAAACGTACCACATTTGAAAATGTTTTGGAAACTCAAACGCATACAGTATTTACAACCATCAAATGTATATGAGAAGTGTATGTGGCCTCCAGAAGTTACTAAGTAGTAGAAGTATTTTTATTACTTGAGTAAAACATTTTCTTAAACAGTTTAAGATCTCAATCTGACTGAAGTCTTCTTCACTGATTTCATTTTGTAAATAATAGTTCATTTGTGAATGAAAAAGATCATTAACTAACTGTGAAAGCGCTAGCATTAGCTCGACAACATAGCAAAAATCCTCTCTTCATACTATGGTAACAAAATATTGTATAATAATATGAGCAGCATTTGACTTTTTTTTATTTTGCCGTTATATGGAGCTGAAACTCTTGAAAACATTTTTGTATTGATGTTGACACAATTATATGTTAACAAGAATATTCTTATAGAATGTACAACTATTTTAACGCAGACATATTTATAATACACTAACAACAACAACAAGATGTGAAACATGATGTGAAGTAGGTTAAAGGCAGCTTAGATGGTTTCTAAAACCTCTATTTGGGATATTGCGTTAAACCATCAAGTTGATTTAAGTACAGAAGCACACACAAGGATGTGAACCGAGCATGTCTACATACACACACATAGAAAATGTAGAGGCAGTAAACATGAGGAAGCGAGGTGTGGTCTCAAAGTTTCAGAGTTGTTCATCTAGAAACACAGTTGTTACAACCCAAAAAACAGGATCCAGTCAACATGTCTACAAGCACCTGAATACCTTTTTTATTAAATAATTAAGTGACAGTGTATATTTGCAGTTAAATCAAAGCAGATGTATGCATGCTGTAGGTTAGTGCACTGTGCAAAAAAATGTCGATTACAATAAAAAAGAAAATGCAGGTTTGACCTGTCAGAACAAGTGTTCTTGATCGATCTATAAAGTACTAGAAACTCTACAACAACATCAACAACATAGCTCCCCAAAAAAGCTTAAAAAAAAAATATTTACATCTTCAGATGTACAGAAGAGAACTTTAATTGTTATTTTACCTCTATACATCCATTTTTGGAGCTTCAGGAGAACATTTTAGGAAGCTGAGAATTGTCTGTTGGGCTTGATCAATTTCTCTTCCATATTCTAAAATCTTGTAGAGCGACGGGACACCTTCCCAGAATAAATGTCTCATGTTAGAAGAAAATCTGACACTACTACACAGCAACATTTTGAAAAACAAATCTTAACAGATGAACAGATTACATATTTACACTTGTGCTGAGAACGATTCAGTTCCCATTATCAGCACACAAACTTGTTGCAGCTTTTCACGCTGATAGAGCAACAGAGATGACTCACTGTCTCTCCCCTTTGACACAGTGAAGTTCAGTCTGTAAAAAGAGAAGTGGAAAGAGAAGTCCTTCTTTTAGCCCAAAGTCAGAGCTCAGATTCAGAGCTCCAGGGTCCCTTACAGTTGTATATTTACTGCAACTTAAAGAGGACTGAATCCCACTGGGGTGAGGTACTTTATATGTCCATGAGGGGGCAGTGGGCAGCTCAGTCCTGGGGAGCTTGGTTTATCACCTTCTTCTTACGAACTGAGACCAAATCATAGAAAGGATCCTTGGTGATGCTGGCTCTGTTTAAAGGGAAGACGATGACCAAATTAGTGGGGCCAATGCAGCAACATGTGTGTGTATCTGTGTTTGAATTCAGTTTTTATGAGGACTAAATGTCCTGCGATGGACTGTTCAAAACTTTGATCCTCACAAAGCACATTTCCAAGTTTTGAATTCAAAGCTGAAATCACAATCAATCAAATTCAAATGTGACTGCTTTGGATTCTGGCTAGCAACTTGACAGTTTTGGCAACATTAAACCATAGAAACAGCAGAAAAGCTTTGGAAAAGCCAAGGTTTTTAAGCTGTCCAACACTGTAAAGTAGGTCTTTACAGCCAAGGATTATGGAATATATGAGCATTCCCTGTTTAATTTCTCAACACTTTTGTCAACATAATGTAAAGACACAACATGTTTATGTACAACTTGACTGATTGCCTCAATACTTCTGGCTACTAGATTGGATTCTGTTCAAGGAAAGTCATTTTATGAACAGATTTTAAAAAAGCAACTATTATAAAAGAACATTTTATAGAACTTTTTTGATTAAAAAAGAATAAAAGCTACCTTGCAATTACATAAAGGGTAAGTTTTAGGATTTCTTTTTGATAGTACTTCACTGAGAATAATAATTCTGCTTTTACTACCAAACATTGGTGACTGCATGATCTTTCTTCATCCTGTGGAGCACCGCACTCCAAAGTACGATACGAGATTTGATCATGACTGGATGTGGTCTCAAGCAGAAGCTGCCACGCTCGACTTAAACCAGCTGTGTTGTTGGGTGTGGATGTTGTTTTCGAGACACACTTTTACCTACCATAAACCCACAGAGCAATCATATAAATATATATACGTATATATATATATATATATATATATATATATATATATATATATACATATATATATATATTTATGTACAATAGGGCCGTCAGCACAAACTACTTAATTGCGATTAATCATTTTTCTGAAATGAACGCATTTCTTTTTTTTGATGGCGCTTAATCGTATGCTACTTTGTCCATTTAGGCACCCTGTGGATTAATCTCCACAGTGTCTCCCTGTAGTCACGTTTATCAAAAAGAAGCATTCTTAAATGTCTCATTTCACTTTAAAAAAAACTCTCAGACAGCTCAGTTGAAGAGTTTTTTTCATTTAGTTTTTGATCTACAATGAGTATCTTCTTCCATGGATAAGCACGTGTAGTAACCTTCGACCTGCCAAAAAGTCCTAACTTTATTTCAAAATAAAAGCAGGGCTGATTTTAAACAGCATGTAACATAATCCCAGGTTAAGAAAGTACAAACATTCAAAATAAAAGCCTAACAAATTTGATTTTTAAATGTAAAATAATAAAATTTCAAGCATACTATTAAAAATGTGATTAATCACAATTAACTATTGAATTTTATATTTGTGATTATTCGTTGAAATTCAGCGAATAATCGCAAATAAAAATTGTAATTGTTTGACAGCCCTTATATATATGCTTGTGTGTGTGTGTGTGTATGTCTGGTCTTACCTGATGGCCTCGATCCAAGAGTCTCTCTCCTCTGCGCTGGCTGCACAGATGGTGTAGGACTGGTGCTTCCCCTCAACTACTCTACCATCTGTCTCCGTTTTGCAAGCTTTGATCTTCTGCCCGCGACTGTTCGGGTTGTACAGCTCCAGACAATACTAGACAACACCAGAAACACATATGTCACAATCACAGATTACCCCTGGCATTACTAGAGTTGTTCTGATAGTGACCAGTTACATCCAATGCATGCAAGTATTGCATCCAATACTTTCAAAAAAATCTTTGGTCATGGCTGCAGAGGAAGAATAAAAGGTATAGGGAAATCTCTGGGTGTTTACATTATGTGTTTTAACTAATTGAAGCGTTGCAGACCGTATCATACCGGTTTACGAGGATATGGAACTTCTCTCACACACAGGTTCTCTAGAGGGATGATGCCTCTGGGCTCTTTATCCTGCAGATGAATGAAGAAAAAAAACAGAAAAGTTGTTTCTGTCATGATTATACAGGAAGTAGAAGAAATTAGGAACCAAATAAAAAACATGTATATTGATGTTTTTTCATCCATTCTACTTATGAATTTAAAGATAACAATAGGATTACTTCAAATGCAAAAGATAAATAGTAGTAGAAGTAAATCATAGGTAATTCTCTTTGGATACAGTCCTAAAATAAGCTAAAAAACAAACAGAGTAATGCTTTTTAGAAAATAAATACTGTCATGGTGGGACCCTTACAGTGGTGAATTCAAAGTAGTAGAGGCAGTTGTCAGTAAGGATGAACCAGCGCCTCTTCCACGTCTTGACTCGTCCTCCTGACAAACACATAATACAAAATATTAAGACCACAATGAACGGTTTTGAACGGTTAGTATCATTGGAAAAGGACAAGCATTACAAAGTTGCATCACTGCCTAACCAGCTGACCGTAATACCAATCTTGGTAATGATCTGTTTGCCTCTTAACTTTTTTATAACCTTGCGGTGTGGTTTACATGCAAACACATGAGTTATAGGACTCCACTATTGGGACATGTTCTGCCTGCTTCCTCTGTACTTTCCTGTTTTGTTGCAGCTTAAAGCACAGCAGCTCAGAGCACACTCAAACATCGTCTGGTTTAGGAAATTTGGTGTTAAAATCTTGAACATTCCCAATTATTTCTTTCTTCTTATCTCTTTTGTTACAAAAAAAAGCTTTGTCACTTCCAATCATGTAAGATTCACCAAGGCTCAAATGTGACACAATATTTCTTGAATTCATTTGAAGAGACTGATTTGTAGAGGTGTTTTACCGAGTTTGAGGAGCCAGCCTTCTCTGTCGGGATTGAAGAAGGTGTGTGTGAGATCATTCCCATCATCCTCTGGGATTTTGAAAGGCTCGTTGTGAATGCTCTCGTACAGTTTCTGGGTAGAGAGGAGTAGAAATGTATTTTAAAGCAAAAATAGGGCTTCCTCAATGTTGCAAGCTACAATACTGCTGTCACGGCTGTGTGTGTGTGTGTGTGTGTGTCTGTGTGTGTGTGTGTGTGTGTGTGTGTGTGTGTGTGTGTGTGTGTGTGTGTGTACTCTCACACAAAACCACAGTCATTGGTTTTGTGTGAGAGTAGGATACTGGTGGGTTCAACTCACTGTTCGAAACGGTGTTACAACATGTAGGCTACTGATAGCTATGACTGACCTGTGGCTGGAAACTGAGCGTGAGAACAAGCTGAACGTGGTTACCTTTGTTAGTTTCTGTTCCATATGATGTGAGGAATGTGAGATAATGTTTTACAAGTCCTAAGCCCCTGCACTTGTCTCTATCCTGTTTTCAGGATCACCATAGTCACAACTTCTCAATTCCAGATAGCCACATCTCAAAAGCAAACTTTGCCTAATACTCTTTTTACACCACCGCTTCATTACTCTGATTGGTTGTTGTGTTATTAAGTGTTTTTTGTCTGCTCCGTTTTGAAACAGCCTTCCAATCAAAACACAAATGAGACATCATGCTGGGTATTTATTGTATAGATCAGAACACTATCATTGTCATATGGCCGGGCTCAGTGCAGTTCTGGCTTCCTAGAGACAAGATAAGCTACCGTTAGTGTCATCTCAGCACGCAGCGCTTCTTTATGTTCTGTGTCCTCAAGATTGTCCTGGAGAATTTGATTGGAAGATTGGTTGTTTGTCTACTTTTTTGTTCACTCTAAATAAATAAAAAACCGCTGAACCCATCTACAAAATGCAGTTACATCTTGTACTGTGTATCCATTTCAAATTTGAACATAGTTGTACGTTATCCTTCAGCTTTGGCGACTGATTTGTGACTTCTTGGCGTCTAGTTTGGCAAGTGGTGCTCACCGAAAGCAGGTCGTCAGGGAGATTTTCTCCGTTGTTGATGCCTCTGTTCATGGAGAAGAAACGCTCCAGGGTGGTCTTGTCCTTCACGTTGGGGTTGTGCAGGCTGGTGTTGAGCATGATGATGGCAAATGACAGGATGTAGCATGTGTCTGGTGTTGCAGAGGAAATGAACACATACACAAATAAGAGGAACCAAAATAATAGTCATTGTATCAATTCTAGAAACTAGGTCACATAAATTCAGTCGGCTTAAAAGAATGTTGAGAAAATTGAGGTGGTAAAAGTCGAAGAGGCAAAGAGAGAGAGAGAGAGAGAGGGGAGAGGTGGCGTCATTTAAAAAAAATTTGCCACAAGACCACATTGTCAAACACAGACGTGAATGTGAACAGACGCATATATAGCAAAGCTCACCTGTCGACTGGAAGACATGAGGGTTGCAGTCACAGTAGCGTGTGGCAAAGGCCTCCATCATGCGGTCGATCTTCTGGGCTTCACCCGGCAGACGGAAACTCCACAGAAATTGTCTGTCACATACAAACCAAAACAGAATTAACCTCAGTAAGAAATGCATAGAGGGAGAGTTTTTTCTGAGTGACGATCCGCCGCCAGCACCGAGGGGCCACGCGGCCTCGGGTGCGGGGATTTCAACCGGTAATGACGTTCGTGGTTACTGCCATTGTGTTAGCAGTAGGTAATGCAACCGATGAGCTAACATGAGCAAGCGTTGTCACAACTTATCAGAGGCCTTCCTTCTTTTTCTTTCACGTTATGTCATTCGAAAATATGCCCTTCTCAATACTACTTACAATTTGGACGTTCACGTGTTTTAAACACATCCGCATATGTGTAAATGTCCCTGATGATGATGATAAATAAGAAACCTGCGCAGGAGTCAGGAGTGAAAAGCAAACTACCTGAGGGCCTGGACCAGGTTGAGGTCGGAGAACTCGTGCAACTCCACAAAGGCCTTCAGGGTCTGCAGGTGGAGCTCCTCCCTGTGGGGCAGAAAATGAAAGAAGACACCTGAGACCAGAAGCTAGAAACTCACTTTTTGAAACCTGCCTTCAGCCTTTTTTTTTTTTGTCTCTCAGGGTCCTGTTTTCACTTTTATCTTTTTGCTCCTCATTTGTCCTTGTGAGTGTAATTCAGTCATTCCTCCTTTTCTTATGTTGTGCACACTTTTCCTTCTCCTCCTTTCTTCTCGCAGTCTCTCTTTACCCTTGTGTTTTTCGCACAATCATTTTGTTACGTTTCCTTGTCCTTTCGTATCGACCTTCAGTTCAATTGCCCTTGTTTATGTCCTAGGTTTAACCCTTCTTCCTCGTTCTCCTGACGATTCCCTTTTTTCTTCATCTTCTTCTTCTGCTGCTTTTCCTTCCTCCACCTTTCTTCTACAATTCTCACTTATAAACTTTACATTTTCCTTCCACATAATACGAGTTTCTTTTTACCGATTGTCTTGTAAGCATAAATGTATCCTCCCTATTCTTCCTTTCTTCTTTTAATGTCCAACGTCTCATCCCACCTCTCATCAATCATTCATTTTCCTTTCTTCCTACTCGGTACTCCTCCCCTTGACCTCATTAAGTAAGGTCTTTTACCTGCTTTTTGTAACATAACAATGAGTTAGGTCTTTTTACCTGCTCTTTTGTAATGTTAGCAGACAAAGAGTAAGGTATTTTACCTGCTTTTTGTAAAGTGTCTCGAGAATTGAATTTAATTGAATTATCCTCAGCATTTTTCTTCACCCCTTTTTACTTTCATCCTCATGCTGTTTTCCCACTGTCCTCCCAGTACTCCCCTTCTCCCTTTACCTTTCTCCAAGAAATTCTCCAATAGCTGTCTTGTTCAGTCCCTCCTCCTTATAGAGGAACTCAGCGATGGATTGAGCACTCCCATCCAGCAGCTTGTTCTCCACCAGGTAAGTGATCCCCTGCAAACACACACACACACACACACACACACACACACACACACACACTCAGTCAGTGAGTTGATTGTTATCTGTAAGTATACTTCCTCTTTTTTTTTTTCTTCATATTATGACTTCTTGTCTTGAACATATATAAATGACATTTTTTATTTCGGAAGTAGTGTTGGAGAACAAAGCCATGAAACGCACATACACATTGTATCATTGCTAAATGTGGTTACTTTCGTAATTATCTCATCTCCGGTTGGCAGGATGGAAAAAAAGCTCTCTGTAAACCCAATTCCTTAAAACAAATTTCTCTTCCTTTTTCTCCTCCATCACAGTGTTTTGAGAGGAAAAGGATGGTACAAGTATATTTGCTATGGTTAAAAAAAAAAAACCTTTGCGTCAGAATGCGTTATTTTGGTTTAAAAAGGACTTTCATTTCTTCATTTCTGCAAATGTTTTACATTTGCCCTTAAACCCACCTGAAGCCAATGAGAAATGAGAGGACTGAATTTAATTTGATAAACATTTCCTGGGAAATATCTCACCACATCACCACACGTTTCTATATCACACTTTAGTGTCTGTTTCTAATTCTACATTTTACTTTTAACTGATTAAGTTATTTGAGCTTTTCACCTTTTTTGTTCCAAAAAAATATTCTAAATCAAAAGTTATATTGTTTTTGTTTGTTTGTTAGCACTTTTTGAACCAGAACAGTTTTTACTATGCATACAAATTCCTAATGATAATGTTTTTACAAGTTGTAGTATGATAATGATAAACTTGATCTCATATATTCTAGCTGACATAATCACAGACATTAAAACAGAAACTTGTCCTGTTCTGGAGGAACATCAAAAAAAAGGAGAGTTAGATTTTACATTTATTATTCAAATGGTATGCTAATAATAAATCCACTGTCAGTAATGAGTGCCTTTGTCATTGTCCCACGGTAGTTTAAATCTCACAGGGAAAACAGGAAAAAACTCCAGAGTCCAGGTTTAATGTTCAGAAAACATTTAACACCCACCACAGTTCAGTCTAGTTCCAGTAAGAAAAGTGGTTATGCTTTGCCTTTGTATTTATTTGTCAAACATTTGTGTCCTCAACAGCAACAAGCATTACGTGCCACTGAAACCATAGAAACGGAGCTGTCAACATGGTGAGAGAGCGTCACTTCACTGACTCACAGCACCACAGCATCAACACTGTGGTAAGAGAGGAAGTGGCCGCAGAGAAGAGCAAGAGCTGCTTATTTAAAAAGGTCCAGGTTACACGTGACTGCCCAACACTTTGTAAGAAATGACTCATTTCTTACAAAGTGTTGGGCAGTCATATGTGCTATATATATTTGAGATATTTAAGCTTAAACGTGTACTCTTTATGTGAACTGAACTAAATGAAGCACTCACATTCTCACTCTTCTAAACTCACCTTTTTGGGGTCCATGTTGAATTTCTTCTTGCCATTAGAGAACTGTTTGCTCTTCTCAATAGTCTTGCTGCAGTAAGATAAAAAATAAGAAATTAGTTTAAGAACAAGTTTAAAGTGCTTCACTTCACATAATCATTATTGGTCAAGTCAACTGGTTTTTAAGTTGCCCCCTGTACGACTGGCCTCAACAAAACACTTTATTTCTCTTTCAGTGGTACTTAATCTATTTTTGTTTTCTTGTGGGGCTGCAACATATATGTTTTTATATATATAAAAAAATAAAAAATTAGCATGCAAAAACTTAATCTCCATGGCACTGATAGAATGCTCCCATGAGAGTGAAGCCTCAGGGAGGCAAAGTTTCCTGTTCAAGCAGGACGTACATGTTAATGTTCATTCTAACACAGTGAGTGATTCACCTTGAATGTACTGCAAACCAATGGGCAGAAGTATCAAAAGAAAAGCACAATCAAAAATGTTTCAATAGTTTGGATTCTTTTTTTTTGGTTTCACGTTATCATTGAAGAACATTTCTCTCCTGGGGGCTCTTAAGGCAGTTTTTCCTAAGGATCAATAATGAACACATTTTATTTTCTTAAACTATTTTTTTTATTTTAAACCCCCTATTGATATTAAGAAGGAAAAGTTTGTTCATCAGAGGTAACCAGAGGGTGGGTGACCCTGTGGTGATGGTGAAAGTGATACGTCCGTGACATATACATGAATTGCATTAAGTGGGACTTTTTAGAGACATGAGTTCTATAAAAGAAAAGACTGGTTGGAAGGGAGGAGTGGGATTTATCAAGGTTAAACACTCACTTTTCCTCTGAAGACTCAAAGCTGAGTATTTCTGCCATGACGTTGTCGATCTCCATCTTCAACTTCTGAACAGGGCAGAGTGAAAGAAACGTCTTAAACATGTTGTTCCTCAATATCGTCCCTTACTATTTAGATTAACTGTGTCTGTGTTTGTACCTGGATATCATCCAGAAGATCTTTCTTATGCGTCTTTATGCTTTCGATCTCCATCCTCTCATCTGCTGTAAAATCTGAGGAAACTGTTGAAATAGGAAAACCTCAGTAATCAGCACCAGTATTGAACACATAAAACCTTACAAGCAAGCTTAAAGCCTTATTTGTATTTTCAGTATGGAGGTATGTCACTTCTTCACTGACATGTCAGAGAAAGATCTGTTCATCTTTATGATTATTTGATGCATCTATAAACCAGTAAGATGTGTTTTTTTTTTTTTTTGAGATAACCAAACCATTAGGAGTAAGTGTTTCTCTAGAAACCAAGTGAAACAGATAGTGTGGTTTTCACAAGAAAGATATCTGTAACCACTAAGAGTAACCTGTTTTTTTTTTTTTTTGGAACATTTTTTTCATATTTCTTATTTGTCAACTACCATCCATTTCCACATGAAATATCTTGACACAGTATTAATCATAAAACTCATCCAGTAAGTCATGGTGTTCTACGCTAAGTGATTGCTTTATAAACTGTAAGGTTGCTTGGTGACATTTAATGACTCAATCAACAAATGTACATGTGCTTGATCTTAAATCACAAATTATGCTTTCAGATGATTATTCATCAATCCAGCTTGGTCAAAGCATCACAGGATTGGTTTTAAATTCCCCTTGTGAATTATTCAACATCTGGCCAATGATGGACTCACTTGACTGAACTAGCTCTCGAGGAAGACTTGCATTGATTTGTTTGTACAGAAGATTCATTAAACAAAAGATTAAATCCTGAGTGTTACATCATTAAATTCTGAACCTAAAGTACAACTAAGCCTAAATGGAATACTGTTATTTCTGCTGGTAAAGGTTTGCAAAGAAAACTATGAAAGGGGTTGTACATTGAAGTGGATATCAATATAAATCCAAACACCCATCCATCCATCCATCTATTATCTATACAGCTTTTCCAGTTCAGAGTCACGGGGGGCTGGAGCCGATCCCAGCTTTCATTGGACAAGAGGCATGCTAATAGAAAATCCCAACGAGTGAATTTACTCAAACCCTGCCAGCCTCAAAGGTTCTTGACGAATTCAGATAGAAAAGCCAAATCAGTAAGATTCATCATCTGGGAAGAAAAATGTCTGCACTACATTTGATGGCAAGATAACGTTACAAACAACATTTTTACACTGAGATTGTGTCAGGTATATATTTGAGTGTGTGTAAAGGCTATGAATGCATACAAACGGATTGTTTATCTCCAAGTTTCTTTCGCCATATAATATATATTCTGAACGCGTTTGAGGTCCGATTTGTACAGAAGTTATATAAATAACGTCATCATCTGCATAGAAGATTTCATGATCAACACAGCTGAGTTTTTCGTTTGGTTCACTGCCAGTGAGACTCAGCCTAAGAGTGTGAGCTCTGTGGTGCCTCAAACATATCAATAGAAATGGCAGGTTTAATCATCTGAGACTTTCAACCCTTGTCATTTCTAACGACCAAAACTTCCTGCATGGTTCTGTGAGCTGTTTAGTATTGAGGGTCTGAACACAGGATGGACACACCCTTCATCTTGTGCAATGAAGCTGAAAGGCAGAAATCATTTTTTGCTTCTTTTCCATTGTTCACATTTTTAAACTGACATATAACTGTTGACAGATAAGGAACCCCCGAGCAGCATGATTTTAAAATTGGATTGTTGTAACTTCATACTAAATATAGAGACTTCTGTTTTCATATTATTGTCAGTGGCATGCGGTCCTGTGAGTTCTGACTATGACTGCCTCTTCCCTATTTCAGCTGAGACCGACACTCTCTAACCTGTGCATTGTTTCACACACTGGCAGACAGCGATAAACAGTATACCAAGAATCCCTGTTCTCACAGCATATATCAACCCAGAGAGAACTTCTACTTCACATGACATTTTCATGTAGTTTTTCATCAGAGCTGTTTCTAACGTAGAGCAAAATGTAGGAGGAGATGGAAGTTGTTACAAGGAGAAACCTGGACATTATTTAAGATCAAACTTTTTTTCTATTTCCCCCTGATGAACACAAAAGAGCACATCACCACAACAGCTTTAACAATTAATAATTTCATAAGAGAGTGCCTTATTGATACATTTAGGTCTAATTTTTAGAACTGCAAATAGAAGATGAATGCAGATAGAGAAGATGTATATCTTAAATAAAATACACAATTATACAACCAACCAGGAGGACAAATCAGCACTTACCCATTTGGAAATCAGTCATTTATATCCAAGAAAAAAAGTCAAGAATGATCAATCCAAAAGCAGCTACATACAGTCCAATTAGGCGGTGAAGAGATGCAGACTGCCTCTGCATACACTGCAGTAACACTTGAATGAATTAGGTGTTCTTTTTTTTTTTTTTAAACCCCACCTCTTCCTCATCTAACAAAAAAAAATCAAGTTCACATTAACATGAAGACTGAAAGAGGGAAGAGTGCATCGTCCTTCAAGATAAAACCCAACTTAGTCCATGAAGTTAAGCAAAAAAAACAAAACAGCAATATTTCAACATAACAAAGATGTTGATTTTGCTATAGCTGAATATATACATAATATACATTGGTAGCACATCCCTCACTGTTCAGAGGTTTTGAAAAATTGGTTTAACAATGAAACTTGCAAAACAGAGTTCAGACCAGCATGTGAATTAGGAAAGCCAGGAATCTTATGAGATGTAGAAGTAAGGGTTGAACCCCTGACCACTTCTTACCAGGGATTTTGATAAGTGGTCAGTTGATGTTAATAAGGAAGACTCTGTTCCAATGAAATATTCTTGAACTGTAAAATAGACACTTCTGTTTACAGAATGATTTTGTCCTTTTTTTTTGTCATGCTGTAAGTTGTGCTGACTTGACAATTAAATTGTTTTATCAAGCCATCAGACTTTATTTGTACTGCAGGTTTCATATCCAAGCCAATGCAATACCAAGTATTTAGGACATACAGTCATAAATGAATAGAGAACTTGGTTACTTTTAAAGTCCTCAATAATCAGTAGATTAAAAATCAAGGACTTAGAAGCTATAACAACTAACATACTGTAAATACCTGCATATACACAAGGAATTAAGACAGACTAAAATGAAAATATTTGGTAAAAAAAAAATCATTGAAAAGGCTGGACTTAGAAGTAACACATTAAAAGACAAATCAATAATGTATTAAATGACATTTTTAAACAACAAACTAAAAAAGGTCAAATAATAAAATAGACATATACACAAATAAATATTACTCATTGGAAGCCTGACTGACAGATCAAATATAATTGAAATCTAAAATTAGATTGAAAAGTCAAACTTCAATTAAAAGCCTAACTAATAAGGGAGCATTCCAACAACTCTGAATTTATTTATTATAACTTAATATCCATGTCTGATATATTGTTTGAAACTTTAAGACTCCCTAACTAAGATGAATACTAGAAATATTATAACACAGTGAGGACAATATGCAAGAAACATGTCATAATGCAGAGCAATAAGAATGACAACATAATGTAATTTAAAGATAAATCAGAGTTGGAATAAAGGTATTTGAAGGGTACGATTTCTGACATTTTTAATGAATAAATTAAGATCCACTTATGAATATTTTTTTTCACAGCTACTCTTCTGTGAAAAAAAGTTTTGTTCACAATTAATAACACAATGCTAAAGCACCATCTAGTGGTAGTACAGAAATATCACAGGCATTTTGAGCTTTAGGCTATAGAGAGTGATTTATCATCTTAATTATATATATATATATATATATATATATATATATATATATATCTTAAATATGAAAAGAAAAGTAATAGAGATATAAATGATTCAAGTATGCAAAGTGATAGAAAATATAAAAGTGAACCTGAACAACAATACTGAATGCCTTAGGAAAGTGTGTGTGTGTGTGTGTGTGTGTGTGTGTGTGTGTGTTTGCGCGTGTGTGAGAGTGTGTGTGTGTGTGTGTGTGTGTGTGTGTATGTGTGTGTGTTTGTATGTTTGTTTGCGCATGTGTGAGAGTGTGTGTGTGTGTGTGTGTGTGTGTGTGTGTGTGTGTGTGTGTTTGCGCGTGTGTGAGAGTGTGTGTGTGTGTGTGTGTGTGTGTGTGTGTGTGTGTGTGTGTGTTTGTATGTGTGTGCAAACACATGCATGGTTAAAAATGTGCAAGCAAACAAAAGAGGAAGTTTTAAATAGACCTCAGTGTTTTTGCCTCTCTATCTTCCTCCTCTCAAAACGTCAATTCACAGCTCTTTTCTGTTGCAACTTTTTCCACAGCATTTACCTCATTCATTATTTATCTCACGTACTTGTGTTTTGAATAAGTTTGCACTATGTTTGCATACACTCTGTCATTTCAAGGAAGCAAAAAACCAACAAAACCAGAAGGAGTGATTTGTGCAAAAATGAAGGAAGAGAGACTGAGAAGAAAAAAAAGAGGCAGTGAAGGGTGGGGAGTGAGGGAGGTGTAAGAGTTTCCTGTAGTTGCATGCTGATCTTCCTCTTTGAGTGGGTTCCTGTCAGAGTGAGCAGCACAGACGAAGCTGAGCGGAACAGGATGCAGGCTATCAAATGTGTGGTCGTGGGAGATGGGTATGCCATATTTTAATTTACCTACAGTGTATGTAAAAGTTGCCTTCAGGTATTGAATCTCGAGGTGTTTAGCCCATGTTATGCTTGATGAAGATATTTAGCCTACAGGCTGTGTATTTAGAGTTCTTTGGTTGAAATATTAAAGATATTTTCAAGCCCCAAGGAGCTTTCAGTGACAGTTTCTCGACTTCCCTAAGTTGTGGAAATGTGATTTTTTTGCTTGCTCAAAAAAAGCAAGGCTCTCTGTACACTTAAAGTATCAAAAACACTTTGTCAAATGTTACGTGTTAACTCTCTAGGCGTGTGTTTGACAGCCTGATTCAGAACAAGGGTGCTGGAGGGTGCAGGTCACAACATGCAGGAAAATGCTGTAGCAAGCTCAGAGCAGGCTCTTTAGTGTAGGCATAAATGCAAAAAAATGCAACTAATTAAAAAGACTGAAAAGTAGAAAACTGAGAAGAGAGGAAAGAGATAAAATAGTCAGAAAGCTACATGTTAAAGTTGGTCATCATGGTAAACTTTAATATTCAGATCATGTTCAGTCAATTGAGTTAATTGTGCTCACTCAATACAAGTTCAGACACTGAGATCTACCTTATCACAAAAACTAACTTCTTCACCTAATCCTTAAAGGAGGGGCCATCAAGGGCAGGTTGTAATGATGGCGGAGATAATGACGCGGAAGTGCTGAAGAGCTCAGTTAACTGTTACCAAAGAATGTAATATGTAGAGGTAGCACTTCCTGGTGTGTTTTTGCTCTCTGGTGTGTCTATAAATGTAGCCTGAAGAAGCAGTGAGACTAGAGTCTGTAAAACCTTGGATAGTGAGAGTTTTTGTATTTTCTTACTTAAGCACACTGTAAGTGAAGTTCCACTTAAAAACAAAAGATGTTGTTTTGTCTCTAACACATCTTGCAAGTACCTTCATATTTGTGTAAAATGAAGAACAACATTGTTAAATTTGATTTTCTTTCTCATATCTTTGAGCTCCTCAGTGTGCCAAAATGTTAAGTTTGATGAAGGTTCATCACTTGGGGGCACATACTAAGTTTTTTTCTCCAATGAAACTCTTTGGTGAATGTAGTTACTTTACTGTGACAGTGAATTCTGCTAGTTACTGTATAAAGAGCAAGAACTTTCCATCCTTGCCAGCGCTTTTTGACTTTCCTGCCCCTTTCGCTGCTGTTTTCCTGGACTATCAAGTCTAAAGATTTTCCTCCTACAAGATGAAATTTTAAAATCTTCCCATCTATGATTGTGTATTTTTGTTTGATTACTGTATTTAACTGTAAGTTGTATACAGAGACAGATCATCCTGAACAATGACAAAAGAGCAGAGGGGCAGAATCACTTGTTGAATGTCACATTTCTCCTTGACTCAACAAGAAGGCCTCATAAATAATAATAGCTCGGTGCATCACAGCGTTTCTACCTCCCAGTGGTATCGTCATGGTTGCACTGCTACATTATTGGCAGTTAAATATCAACAATATGTCTCTGCCTCATGATTTCCTGAAAAACTGCATTTACAGGAAATACATTAACATGAGGAATTAAATATCTTTCTGCTAGCTGTTTCATTGGAACGTAAAAAGGAAATATGTTTCTCCATAATAAAAACATCCTTAACATATTTGGTCTTGTTTAGAATTTCTGAATTGAATTGCCTGCAGCTAAATGTAACCAGACCTCTATCACTGTATACGGTTATAAATCTGATATTATTGTTTTAAAAGAAGCATCAGAGCAGAAACCAAGGCCACATTTTGTTTTGTAATTTCTGGACTTGTAGTAATAAAAAAAAAGATGAAGATGAAGATGTTTTATTTAGAATCTCAAGTACTGGGGTGCAAAGACAATAACAACATAAACTGTGTCAGTGTCCAATGGACAGCTATGGATCTTGGCTACAGGAGCTGGGATTGTGTCGACTCCATGTGTTGTCACACACCCTGACATTGTTTTAAATAGCTACTGCCTAAGGACATTTTTTTCTAAAATGCACTGTCAGAACAGATGCACGCAGAGAGCAGGAGCAGTGGATGAAGTAATGTAAGGAATGAGAAGGGGGAAAAAAACACTTGTGAAAAGCTTGGAGCTGCACCTGTGAACACCTGGTCAATCACTGCAGAAGGATGGCTGGTTTGGGATAATGCCTTTGAACAGGGTTAAAACATTCAACATGTCCCAGATAAAATGTCTGAATACAGCTTCAGATATAGTCCACACAACTTGTGATGTTGTGAGTCATTTCTGCCATGATCTTTCATTTCATTGAATTAATGTGCATCACGCTGCAACCTTTGAAAAATCCTTCGCTGTCTGAATGTGGGGCTCAACCAAAATCAGAGATGACTCATTCTGTGCAGGTGGACCTTGAAGAGATGGAACAGTCTTTTAAATTGAACTCAGGAGCTACTTGTCTATATTATGCCAAAACGTGTATGTTTGACGTATGTGACAGAACTAGGCTGTCTAAAATGGGATTTAAATCTTCCAGTAATAAAGAGAAAAGAAGAAGTTTGTCTGAAGTTGTAGGGAAGTCTGCTGTCACTGAACTCACAGTGTACATATAAGCTAACATGATGTTCATAAATGGCCTTTTTATAGCGTTCCCCCATTTGAACGACATGTTTACTTTTATTGTACTAACAGTTCTATTACATTTCCTGCTTGCACAACTACCAGAAATGAGAAAAGAAGCCAATCCATAAATGCCATTAAGCTGCATTCTTTCTAATGGCCAATAGGAGGCGATTCAATTGATTACAAAACATGTCTGGTTGTATGGAAGTCTAGAGGAAAGGTTTACGAAGTTTACAGTCTCTATGGATAGATTCAAGATTGTATAAGAAGCAGACTGTCCCGCTTTTGTTGAGACTGTTGTTCTTTTGGTAAGCCAAATGATATTGAAAACTCAAAACACTGAACATCGCCATCTATTTCAAGCAAATATATATAAAAAATAGATAAGACAGTTAGAATATTGCCATTTAATGGAACGATAAAATCTTGGGTTTGAATTTCATACAGAGCTGGTACAAACCTATAGTGAAATATTTTACTTCAGTCAAACTAAAAATGATATAGAGATAACATTAAAGCTACCTTTAAGCCCAAAGTAATAACTACTGCACAAATGGTTAGTACATAGTCACAGGAGTTCCTTGAAGGTCCACACATAAATATTCTTAAATACGCTAACATGCTTACATGTGTTTGTGAACTCTTCCTTCAAATCTTAATTGAACAAATGATTTACCAAAGATGTTCAGTAAAAAATAGAAGGAAGTTTAGAAATCTTCTGTGCCTGACATCCTGACTCACTATAGCGTGCTAGCGCTAATTTCACAGCTGCGGCAGTTCAACAACTGGCCTTGCGCCCACTTATTTTGTTATTACTCATGTTTATCACTGCTCTGGGTTCAAGGGCGAGCAGGCTTTAAGCCACTTAAAAATGTAGTGCTTGTGGGAGAAAAAAGATTCAGTACATAAAGCACAACTCCTAAGAAACAGTCAATTTGCCCAAGGCAGATGGATCAAATGAACAAAATTAAAGCAATGTATAGAATTTGGGAAAAGAGAATAAAAGGGAAAACGATGAAAGACAAAAATAAAGACTAGGAGAGACAAATCTTCTTTACAAAATTGGCCAACTCTAAACCAGATAGAGTAGGATGGTGTTAGCATGAGACAGAAATGTTGGCAGAAAAACCATATAAAGACGAAGAGACAGAATGAAGCTTTACTCTTTTTTTCCTTCCCCTTTGTGTGGTTCCTGTTTTCAACACTAACCACTGCTTCTGAAACAGATCAGTTCCTATTTGACTTGCACATAACCACAAAGAACAGACTTGCTTGCACTGACACAAAACACCCTTGTTAACCCATAATCCTAAACGTAGCCATCATTAATACATGTCCAACCTCAACCTTCACATTTGATCTAAACCTAAACAAACACGCCTTAACTTCTAAACTTGTCCTCACAAATATAGTCTCACACACACACACACACACACACACACACACACACACACACACACACACACACACAAACATGCACACACGCACACAAACATGCACACACGCACACATACAAAAAATACAGCTTTTCTAAGACAGCTGCGCCTGTCAAAGATTGAGTTACCTTTTTCCTGAGCTGGCCTTAAAAAAGCAAATTTGTTTTATTTGTGTGAAGATGTTCCCTTTTTAAAATACAAAATATTTAGATTTATTACTTCATACATTATTAAGATATAACAGTTAAGATTTTCAGCTTCACGCAGATACCAGATTTGTAAATCTTTTAATGTGCCCCTTCTGTCAGAAAGGTGTATTTGGACTTTAAACATTAATCCCCCCACAATACATTATATAAATGATTGTTTACTAAGTTATCTATACAGAGGTAGAGAAAGCACATATACTAATTTATCTTGTAGAAGTATACTGACACTTGTAGAAAACTGCCTCGGCCTCTAACAGTGTCTCAGCATGTATATCATTTACAATTTCATCCATGTACACTAAGCAGTTTTTCTCATTATTATCAAAGCTCAAAATACAAAAGATACACTTTTTTTTTTTTTTCATATCATGATTGACATTGACTCTTTGGGAAATGTAAGCTAAAATTCAGAGTGCACAAAGGTTATTTTCCTCCAACCATTTTTTACAGATAGCAGACACATCCTCATGTATTGAATTTTTTTACTGTCCACACTTTTGTACTTTTTGTAATGACTTATCAGTGTTGCACCACAGAAAAAAAACCCTATTCCCTCCAAAGCCTGGTTTTAGAATCAGATGTTACCAGTTGTTTCATTTGCAACCTTAATCAATGTATGAAACTGAAAGTATCTGCATGGCAACCATAGAGTGTCGACTGACACCCGACCTGACTAGAGCAGGTGTCAGTCCCAGGCCACAACTTACTGTAAAATGTACGTTACATTCTCATCAGCGCCATGAACAGAACAATGTATTTGTTTAATTCAGTTTTTAATTTTCCTTTTCTTTATCTTTTTAGTTTGTTTGTTACATTCTGTTATCGTCACCTTTATTATTTTCATGAAAGTTTGCTTATTTGAAACATGCCAGATTTGCGCCCCATGTGGCCAAGAAATCACAGGTGTAGTTTCAAACCATGCATGCTGCAGCATTAACCGGGGAGACAATAAGTCACACCCTGCTGGTCAGTGAAAAGAATGCAGATTTAAGTCATTCTAACATTGGTCATATATACCAAAGACTTCATCTTTTTCTTTTACAGTCAGTGGTTCGTTTAATGAGGTACAGAAGACTTAAACGATTTATTTCCTAATTCTTTTATATCCTGAAGAATTTGGGCTTAAACATGATCCTTACTGGCAAACCACAGGCAGGAACATTTATGCTGCTACATGCAAATCACCTGATTTCAGAACAAGATATTTCCCTGCTTTGCAATACCTGTCTGATGAAAGCGACAAGGCTGTAACTTCTCCTCACAACTTTTTACCAATCAAAAATGTTCATAATGTTATCTCTGCAAAGCAGTGCCTTTGTGAAAGACAGAGCATAGGATCTGGTGTTATTGTTGAATTATGAAGGCAAAGCTCTGGAACAAAATAAGAACAGGACCAGTTGATACTTGTTTGATCATCTCCTGCTTTAAGCCACGTGGTTTCATCACTGCTGATCTTGAGATAAGCTGCTCACTGCGCCACTGTGATGAACATTCATGGGTTTTCATACATCTTCTCAACTATTGTGGCATGACATGTCTGTACACTTCATTCTTGATTGATATAATCATGACATCCAATCTGGTTTCATAGAAGTTTTGGAAATAGTCTCGAAATGAAAAAAACTATTTAAAAAAAATGTATCAAGGAGAAAAGTTTGCTGGTGGATTAACAGTTCAAACAAACAGAACTTTAAACCAGATGATCAAGATTTATGTGACACAGTTTTGTAAGTCCTTCTCGATCTTATAGCTGGTTTTGAATTCACATCGTTTTTGGAATTTTCAAAATTGATCTTGAATCTTCTTAAGCATAAAAACGCAGCAAAACTATCCTTCTGTTCTAAATCTGAACAACCTCTGGGTACGACTTCCAATCTTGTTGCTTGAAACCATAGTTTTTGTTTCCATTGAGGCTCACTCTGTGTGTTTTTACTTGTTTGACAGAGCTGTGGGAAAAACATGTCTGCTCATCAGCTACACAACCAATGCCTTCCCCGGAGAGTACATTCCTACTGTGTGAGTATAACACACATAAACACACACACACACACGGACATACTACACATGCTCGCTCCATCCATCTGCACTCTGCACAGAAATACCCCTTACATACAGAAACCTGAAAAAGTTATAAGAGTAGATCTGCAGATATATGGTGTTGGTGCTGACAGGTTTGAGCTGGCACCAGAAAAAAAAAAGACTTACTTCTAAGGCCAATTCTATCAAAAGAAAGTTGACATAGAAATACAGAGAAATAAGTAGCTGAAAAACAAAAAACATATTTATTAAGCATCTTTCAAAATAAGATCAGCTGTTTTACAACTTTTTGTTTTAGAAAATATTTCTGTGCTGTATGAAAAAAAGGAAAACAGTAAAAGTCTTTAACTCAGCATAACCTGTAGCAGCACAGACAAGCAAGAACAGAGAATAGTTATATCTTTATTTATTTTATCTTTTAAACTGACACTCTTAGAACTTGTTGTGAGATAACTAGACAATGCACAGAGAGAGTTGAAAGTGTCCATCAGAATCCCTTTTTTTTTTTTTTTTTTTTTTTTTTTTAGCATTTTGAGTTTTTAAATTTGTTTCTTTATAAAGGTTTTGTCCACTGCTCTTATGATGAGACTGTAGTGTTTCTCAGTGGCCACAAGGGGGCATCGTTGCTTCACTATTTTTTTTCTAAAACATTTCAGATTTTTTTCAACTGAGGAAGAAGAACTACTAATACTAAACTAATACTGCTGTGTGTCTAAAACCCCTCTAGGAATAATTCAGCATTCAGAATGTATAAAAAAGTGTTTTACAAATAAAAACATTTATTTTGCGTAGCGAAAGTTATATATATTTATTATATAGATCATATAATAATTTTATCAATACTGATTAATTAACATATTATAAGCAGTTTTTTCACAACCACAGATGGTTAAGGCGGAGCTCATTAAAACACTACCTAGTAATAATCTACAAAAACATTATTCATCTACTGAAACTCCAATCTTCTTTAACTATTAAAACAAATCCTGTGGAGATAAAGGTTATTCCCTCTCAACTGGCAGACGCATGAAGTAGATAAAACATATAAATACCTATAAATAGTTCCAGTACTTTCAAATGTTCTTGACTATGTAAAAATAATTCATTCCTTAAACACGTCATTTTTCAACAACAGGAGACAAAGACATTATGTTATACAGTATGTTATCTTCTTAAGGAAAAGAAACACAGAAAAGGAATAAAACCAGAAAAGGTATAAAACCTTTAAACCTTACATTTACTATACTGCTAATTAACTTAGCAAGAAGTGTCACTTAAATTTAATGAGCCAATTACTGTACCTAACACAATTTACTGTCGAGCACTTCATATGTTTTATTTCTCACTAACAACCCTTTGTTAGTGCTCATTTCTCTCTATTCAACACTTCCTTTTAAACTTACTTTTTGTAACAGTCTTTGTAATGCTCTTTCAAGGTCTCAGATGACTCATGTTTGATTATGATACCCTACATTGGCATGATTGGATTTATTTTAGGATCAAATGTTTAGATTGTTATAATGTAGGCTAGATTTATCAGCTAAAAATGAGACCACTCCTCCTGTATGACCCACAAGTAAAAATTATAGAAAAATATCCAAAATAAAGATATCAAATATGGAGGCAAACTACTGGAAAGAACAAGAGAAAACAAATAAAATATTCATCCATAGATGAATCATGAAGCAGATCAAGTCTCATATTTAACACAAAGGATGAGCACCTGTATAAAGATGTCATTACACTTACACTTCGTTATGTAATAACACCATTTGTATAATGCATGATGATCTATATGTCCTATCATCAATGAATCAATTGATTGATGTTTTGCTTAATTAAAAAACCCGCCTCGTGGTCTAACTGATTTATTGACAGCCTGTGCTCTCCACAGATTCGACAACTACTCAGCTAACGTGATGGTGGACAGCAAGCCGGTCAACCTGGGCCTCTGGGATACAGCTGGACAGGAAGACTATGACAGGCTCCGCCCCCTGTCCTACCCACAGACCGTACGCCATCCATCACACACACATGCAGGCAATTCATCAGAAAAGACAAAACCCACTGTTTCTCCCACAGTGCGACCAAGGGCCCTTAAATTAGCAGCTGTCAGATCCATTAATTCCACACTGCAGCCTGACTGAGTTATGCGTCTCGTTAAATCAAAAGGCAGAAAAGGACAGAATAATAACTGGGGAGTCAGAAACTGAGGAGCCTTTTAGATCCAAAAACACCCAACAAAAAATCCATTGAGAAAGACTTTATAATCCTCTATTTCTTTACATCAAAAAAGATTATTCAAAAAAACAAATAATGTGCCAGAGCACAAAAATAGATTTAACTACATAAAATAAATCAGAATGGTATTCTTTTTTTGTTGTTTATGATATGATATGACCAATGTCTTGGTTATTAAAATGTGTTTTTTGATAGTTGGTGTAATGTATTTCTCTATACTTAGTCAAAAAGCTTCCTGAAATGTTCCTCACGTAGGGCTGAGCACAGTTGATAACCTCTCATCCAAAATGAATCACAACTACCACTTTAAACACAGCATTCACTTCTAATTTAAACAGAATCATTAAAAAAGAAAGCTATCACGCAGTCTAGATTCTGTTAAAGTTTAAGAATAATATCAATATTTCCATAAATTTCCATTCAAATGTGCAAAGGACAAAGTGATGCTTCATATAATCTGTCGTTTCTCTTTGTCTTACATCCAGGATGTTTTCCTGATCTGTTTCTCTCTGGTCAGCCCAGCGTCCTATGAGAACGTCAGAGCCAAGGTAAGTCCCCTAATACTCTATTATTTGTATATTTTTAAAGAACCCTTTTTTAAATATATATTTGTAATCTATTAAAGCCCCTGAAGTAAGTATAATGCAAACTGAAATATTGTCATTTAAGTTGATACTTTACTGATATTGGGTTTGAATTGGATATGATAACTCTAAAATGTGAAAATTAATTGCACATATCAATCAAAGGAAGAGGTTACATGAACGCTATTCTGCTGTAGACTTCCAGAGTTAGCATTGTCCACAGAGTAATGTATTCACAGCAGTAGGAGAGAACTGTCACATCTGTTACTCACCCTTTAGACACCATTTGAAATGGATACTTTTTGTAGACGTTCTGCTGCCTCCTCTGATTACAATTCACACCACTCAAACACACTGTTTAGAGCACATTATCCATGGTTGTGTGCAGATGATATAAATTCTAAATCTAAATTTAATCGGCCCCACCAAAAAACAAGCCTCAAGAAATGATCTTAATAAAGTCAACTTTTTTGCATGAGGCATTTTTTATTCAGATCATGAAAATATACTTTGGCATTGTTTTTTGTTTTTATGCTATATTTGTTAGCTTTAAATTAGTAGCCCTTGAAAAAAAAAACAATGCTTACAGTAAGACAAAGAAGAAGCAATATTTAAATTAGACGAGGCTGTAATAGGAGAGCAGGTTGCCATTAATCCCAAAATGTCCTTAAAACAGGGACTAAATCCATGGGTGGTCCCTGTGGACTAAGCAGTGTTTTGCTCTTGCATGACCTCTCCTCCTGAATATTTGAATAGCTGAAAGACAAGCAGGCAACACTGCAATACCCGGAGTCCAAAAATATGAAAAAGGGCTATATTATCGCAGTCCACTGACCGTTCCCGAACACTATTGCTTTGTTGGGCTGGAGGTGTTTTGCACGTGTATGCAAAATAAAAAAAAGGGATCGTAGAAGAGTGCATGAAATGTATTTGTTTTCCCTCAAAATTGGTTAGCTTTCACATTGTGATTCAAGGTTGAGCAAAATGCCTCTTTGATACGTTTCAATATATAAGAGAAATGTGTAAACTACAGTTAGAGTCTAACAGAAATGGCAGCCTTTTAAAGATAGAGAGTTCAGCATCACTGTGCAGTGGAGTTTGTTCCAAGTAGATAATTTCAATTTCAATTATCTTTCAGAGGCCAGACTCTTCTTATCTGTGGGTTGTAATGGTCTAATGGTCTTGTTTTAAATTTCCCCTGTGTAGCTGCTCAGAACCACAATTTGCATTTGTGTCCTGTGTAAGATGTGTGAACGCTTTGGACACTACATTATTTTGGGTCTTTCATTTTAAACCACTGATACAACCAAAAAAAAATATCTCGGTTTATTTTTTCTTTTTTTTCTCTACAATCACAGTAGTAGTAAATAGTGTAAAAATGTCAAAACGAGCACATCAATAGCATAACATCAATTATAGCATTACAAATAATTAGCTAACATTATTAACTATCTTATCATTGTTTGTTAACAGTAAAATAACTATGGACTAAAGGTTAATTCACTATCAATTTACCCTTTATTGACAATGGTTATTATAAAGTATTACAAATAAATTCAATGCATTGTTAATAATGTATACTTTTGTTTCCAACCTTTCTTTTTCTGGCCAGTTGTGTTAAATCATTACCGTGAAGTCATTCAGTTTTAACAAAAGGTTGCAGAAAGCATAAAATGACATAAAACCTTTTCATGTGCAGCCCTGTGATCTCAAGTGTTCTATAGTAGCTTACTTCAATGCACCCTCTGCTCCTGTGCTACAATGATTCAAAGACCTCCAACAAAGGGGGAGCATCTTAAGGACCTAAAAATCCCTTACCACCTTATGAATATCCTATACGAACATCAATAAGGCAGGCCGGAAGTAACAGGAGTATTGATTAGATTTGGTTAAGTACTCTCCTTTTCTTTTCATTATGAATCCAATGTGGGTATCCATGGTAACAAGGGACTGGAGTATTAACAAGGGAAAGTGGTTGCTGTTAGATTAATTGCTATAGAGCAGAAAAAATAGGAAGAACTGTTTGACAAAAAACATAAATAAACTAATTCTTTACCCAGAAAATGAAGCTGCATTAGGTATTACATTTTTATTTTCAGTCTTATGATCATGTGAGTCACAAAAAGGCTGAATACTGTGTGTCATTCTCCTCTGACGAATCTCTATTTGGAGAATCTACGTACAAATGTAGACTCTGTAGTCTGGGGTCTATTTCCTTTGTAGTACATCTGTAGTGCTTGACTTATCATCTACCAGGCTGTGATGTATGCAGGAAAAACAGAAGAAGATAGAAAGCAATCTGTAATAAGAACATCCCATCTCTCATCTGTGATCACCTCACATGGATTTATAGGCTAAATATCTATTAACAAATATCTGCAAGTGCAACTAACAATTCATTGTTCTAATGGTGTCACAAAACCCCGAACCAGTGAATTTTTAGTCTCCGATGTCTTCAGGTACTAAAATAATTCAAGTCACACTGTGGTAAAGTTTCAAATCCATGTGGTTTTCAATCCTCACTTGATAGATGGGTTTAAAAATTGAAACAGATTTCCCATAGGCATGAAAACGCATCACAATTTCTTTTAATTTCACTTTTAAATTATATCTGAGAAGGAGTCCATATGTTCCTGTTACACAGCCAGTTAAAGTATAAACCTCTAAAACCTCTTGAAAAATGAATTAGTTCAAGAGGCAGCCATGGGATTCATCGGGTAATACCCATAATCCCAACATGCCAGTCACCTGGCTTGTGAGCAGATTACTTAAAAAACAGGACGGATTTGTCAATCAAAAACTACAACTATCAGTTAAAACTGTCAGCAGATAGCATCTCTATTTTTTCTGTAGAGAAAAATAGGTGGAGAGAGGCATTAAGAGAAAAAATGTAGAAGGGAGAGAAGAAAATGATTACACTTAAACGGGTAAGAGAGAGAGACAGGAGGTGGGATAGGAGGATTGGCAAAGAGAGTTTGGAGGGATAGATGGGAAAATAAAGTGAGCTAACGAGTGACGGCAAGAATTATCAGAGAAATCTAAAATGAGTAAAGGGCAGGTTAAAAATGAAAACCTAATCAACAAAAGCAACATTTTTAAAGCATTTCAAAATCCATGCTACAAAGCACTTAAATCTTTAAAGGTTAATGATGATAGTGATGAATATTAATTATGTGTCAGATTTGAAGAAAATGCCAGAGGGTGCAGAGAGATGAAAAGTACAAAAAGGTGGATTAAAGTGTTGTATAATCATAATGAACTAACTCATTTACGGTATGAAGAATGCCATGGACAGCCTCGAAAAAAAAAAATCAGTTAAACCTTAAATTAACACCCTTTCCCTTCCATTTTCTCTTCTCATTTTGATTGCCTTTGACCCCTTTTTCTTCCAGTGGTTCCCTGAGGTCCGCCACCACTGCCCCTCCACACCCATCATCCTGGTGGGCACCAAGCTCGATCTGAGGGACGATAAGGATACCATTGAGAAGCTGAAAGAGAAGAAGCTGTCACCAATCACCTACCCACAGGGCCTGGCTTTGGCAAAGGAGATCGGTAATGCCCATTGTTCATTTTGTTGTATGGGATAAACAATTTTCAGCCTTATGTCTTGCATTCCTAATTTGGTATACAACTGAGTAACGGATAACAAGCAACTCACGGTTCAAATTTACCACAGTTTTAATCTTCCTCCCCTTGGACAGTCATGACTGTCACTGCACATAATAACTGCAGAAATATTATTCATGAGTAAAGTATGTTGTTCTAATATAAGTTACCACTGTTTCTATGGAAAAAAATGGCCATCAAACCCTGGACTTTCCCTCCCAATGAAAACAAGTCAATGTTAACTTCTTTGGGAAGTTGACTTTTTAAGTTTTGTGGTGAGCGTTAGTTATGTAACTTCAGTAGGTACTAAAAAAAAAACCTGAACCATGAACTTTTCTCTTAAAGCTCCTTCCAGGAGTTTTAGGCTGGTTATGAAACCGACTCGAAGTCATACTCTTTTAGATCCATATCAAAATGTTTCTCTTTGTTTTCTATTTAAGATTCAGTGAAATACCTGGAGTGCTCGGCTTTGACCCAGCGTGGTCTGAAGACTGTGTTTGATGAGGCCATCCGGGCAGTGCTCTGTCCCCAGCCCGTCAAGAGCAAGAGGAAGACGTGCGCACTGCTGTAAATGGTAAGACTGAAATACACACTGAGGGGGAGAAAGGGAGTGGTCAAACAATTGAAGGATGAAAAAAAGAACAAGTGAATAAGAGCAGGAGAGGCCAGGCAGCCAATTTTCCATGACATCACGCCCCTGGGTGGAAAGCTGTTGTATTCAAATATTTGTTCACGTCTTGATGCTTTGTTCCATGTTGTAAGTCATACAAATGTGGAGAATCTAGCAAACTGTTTTTGTTTCTTCACTCAATATATTAGCAGCTACAAAGACAATGGAAACTAAAAATCTAGAGAGACATCAGGCCATACTTCAAGTTATAAATCATATTTGATAACCAATTAGCACTCATCTAAACACAGCATACATTAGCTTTAAGCCACTTCCTTGCTAACATTTAGATAACACATGTAATAGAAAAGGACTGTGTTAAGTTTAGATATAAATGCCCATCTTTATCACAGTTTTATGAGCCTGAGGAGCTGAAACTAGAAGTAATTATACTGACAATATAACTTTAACCCTCAAAGACCAAGAGGGCGTCCCGCAGCTAAAAAGAGATACAGTGCTAAAATGTTTAATAATTTTAGAACCGTTAAATCTACTCTACATGCTTTAAAAGTTGGGAACTATGGAGAGTACCAGCTTTCGAGTGGTGTGTTCAGCTACACTGTAAGCATAAATACTTCCGGTTTCACGTCAGGTTCATAAAAATGTGATTATCATGGGCGAAAATATCTCAAATTAGTATCTGAACTTAACAGTGTAGCCTCTCTTCTAATGGCGCTGTTATTTTAACGTAATTCTTTTAGTGATGAATCGTAGTGACTGTCTTTTTAACATCTGTGGTAGCAAACTGACTATTTTAACAGCTGACTGCTTTAGGAGCGCTAACATAGATGCAACTGTTTATTCACATCAGCTATCCAAAAGTAAGGTGTTGATAATACAGTGAAGGCAGTCCATTATGGTTTCACCTTCAACTTTGTAGGTAAAAGCCTCAATCAAGTTGTCTGCTTATTGGGATCTTGGAAAATTTACAAGCCCTTCTTTTGATTTGTTCAACAGAAAGTAAGGTTTCTTGTCCATTGAGCTATTTCCACCGGAAACAGATAAAACTTTCCACTCTGAGTGTGACGTCACCGAAAGAGGGCCGATTTGTGAATATGTTCAATGATTACTTTGGTTTGCCTGCCGCGTAAACCTTAAAGTGTCCAAGATGACTTTTGTCGACTCTTGATCAAATGTTGCACAAATCCCTAATTAATAGTTTTTAAATGACTCAAAATAATTTTCTTTACTAAACAAACACTTTGAGAAAGATATAATAAAAGGCTTAAAATGTGGTAAGCAGAAAAAAACATACGCAAGTCCCATAAGATGCTTCAACAGGAAGTAGGGCTTTAAAGCACATAATTACATTTCCACTGCAGGAACCAGGGTCTAAATAAAGTTGTAGCAACTTGTACCAAGTGTGCTGGGTTTTTTTCTAATCATAATTATAACAAATGATAACTTTATTTATATAGCACCTTTAAAACAAGACTTTCCAAAGTGCTTTGATAAACAATGCAAAAAAAACAGATATTTAACTGCATACAGCACGATGATATGACGGCACAGTCAATTTGGAATTAACCCAGGAGGACAAAAAATGCAAATTAAAGCTGATTCCACGAGCCTGATCTCCTCAGTGAGGTCATTCTCTTGAACCTGATGGTAAAAGCACGGCCCCCTTCTGATTTCAGCCTCAACTTTGGCATTGCAAAAAAGGCCATAGGCTACCTGAGAATCTACAAGGCTGCGAGCTGGCTCAAAAGGCATTATCCTGTATCCTGTAAAAAAGCATCCTGTAAAGCATGGAGCCACACCTAACAATGATTTAAAAGTGATCATAAAAATCTTGAAATCTATTCTAAAACTAACAAGGAGTCCACGAATGGAAGTAGGGATAGAGGTGATACACTGATCGTCTGTAAAAACCATCAATAAGCAGAGCTACTGGATTCTGAAATAGGTGGAGGCAAGAGAGTGTTTTAAAGATAATGCTTTCTCTATCCCCACAGGGACAGTACGGGACAATAATGGAAAGGCAGAGACATGATGCAAAGCGAAGTCTGAGATTTTTTATGACAAATGAACACACTCTGATAATAGAAAGAGAATATAAGCCAATTCTTCAGAAGTGATTTCACCAATCTCATATTTGACAAAGAATCACTGGTGTTATTATTTCCAAGCTTTTAGGGCATGCATCAATTTGCTAAGAAAAGCAGACACTTAATAATTTGACCCGCTCAATACAATTTTCTCCCAAGTAATGCAGCAACTGAAAAATACAGAATCCAATTGGAAAACTCATGAGCCCATGCCTTTTTTTATTTTGATGAAATCAAAATAAATTAATCGACACGCTAAAACAATACTGGAGTCAAAATAAAAGGGAATCCACAGCCCCCTGCAAACGCTCTGAAACAGAGTTTGTTTTAAAGAGCAACAGGAGCCGAATGTTAAAGGGTTATTCTGCTGTTTTTAAACCTCTGTCCTTTTATTTTAGTACTGATGGCATCCAATGGGTAACAGGATTAAAAGACATGAATCATCTATGACTTTTTTACATGTAACGCCATTCAAGGTGTGTGTTTCAATAAGGTGTTAAAGCTTCATGTTCTCTCCATTGTTTCAGATTCGACAAGGACCCCGTAAGAAGAGAGAAAGCAATTCAGACTGCTGACCCTGGGTTAAAAGAAGACCTTTTAAAAGTTCTGTTCTGTTTTCAACTAGAAAACCACTAGTTTAAAACAAAGCTTATTAAAAAAAAAAGCTGATTTTAAAGTTCTTGCAGATACTGCACCTGGAAGAATTTAAGTGTAAATTACAAGAGTTTCTAAAATTAAATCACAAAATGTGGATGAACAGACATGCTAAATGCATACAATATAGATTAGATTAAGTATGAGACCAGGAGCAGCATGCTTGCTTTATCCTATACCAACTAAATACAGGTGTTTTGTGTACTCTCAATGAATGATTTGATTAATTCATAGTGACTTTCAACTGTTGTTTAAAGAGTGATGAACAATGTATCAGGAATGTAGTTTTGTATTGGGAGAGAGATGATCAATGTTTTTTTTTATTATTAATAAAACTTTTTAACAAATGTATTATGTATTCATGTAATATTAAAATAAAACACACTTGATCAAGAAACATCTTCATTGATTTTAATTCTAATTCATTTCTTCAGTTAACGTCATAACTACCATACCATAACATACCATACCATATGTTATAATGCCCTTTATTGTTCCTATAGGGAAATTTGTCTTGTATTTCAGTGCTGCACATGCTGCATCCATAGTAGCATCAATAAAAAAAAAAACAATAAAAAAAAACTTGAAGGTCCCAAATAATAATGTTTATCAGCTGTCTACAAGAAGTCCAGGTCGTCTTAGAAGCAAGATTTGGAATACAGTTGCAAAAAAAAAAAAAAAATCACCCATTCAGCCTCTGTGGTGGATCTACAGCATCTCAGTGTCTAACCTCATTAGGATCAGAGTGGGTGGGGGTGCTATCAGAATGAGATGCTGCGCTGATTGGCTGCTTGAATGATGTCTGAGAGGTCTACATATCCAGAATGTGAACCCGAACAGGAGGAGGCAACTATTCAAGTATTGACAGGTCGAGGGTATAAAAGTGTGTCTGAGAAGTACACTGTATACACTTTTTTGTCTTTAATGTGTAACTTTATGTGGCCGGTCATGACAGCGGTAAACTGTCTAAAGAGTGCATTTTATATTTTAGGTGGGCTGTGCACCTCAAACTGTAAGACGTGACAGGCACTGTTTTAATTTATAAAGCCTCAACTGGCAAACAGCCGGCATATATCACTTCTTTATTACACCTGTCTCATAGTCTACCCATTCCAGTAATTGGCTGAAGCTCCAAGTTCCACAGGCAAACACTTCATTTGCTAAAACTGCTTTGAGCGTCTCTGCTGCATTTACATGGAACACTTTTCAAGAAACATTCAAACTTCACACACTTGTTACTATTGGTCAGTGGATCAAAACTCTGCCTTTGAATGCTAGTGTTTTTATTTGTTTTGTTGCCATTATTTGTATCATTGTTTGTTCACATTTATTATTTTTGTTGTACTATAGACATCATTAAAATGAGCCCTGAATGATTATTCGAGATTTAAGTACAGGTATAGGAATTTTTTGTTTCATTACCTTATCTTGTCACATTTATTGTACCAAATCGTGTGTGTGTGTGTGTGTGTGTGTGTGTGTGTGTGTGTGTGTGTGTGTGTGTGTGTGTGTGTGTGTGTGTGTGTGTGTGTGTGTGTGTTGAGGGGTGGAGCAGTAGTCGGAGCTCTCTCTCTCTCTCTCTCTCTCTCTGTCTATGTCCACAGACGGCGCTCTGTAGCGCAACAGTTCAAACATCACATTCAGGCTTATTTGACCTCATTTGGACTCTTGCTGGATGCTGCACCGATGTAAGATCATCATCAAAACTGAGTATTGTGGTAAGTTTTCTTTTCTTTTCTTTTTTTCTTTGCACACGCTCGCTGTCTGCGCCGTGCTTTCTGTCCTCGGTGCTCAGAGTATTTTCTTATTGATAAACGCTCACAGAAGATGAACACGAGGGCTTAATTAAGTTTATGTGCAGTTACTTAGTAACGTTGCAGTTTGCTTGTCACGTTAGAGGAGTTAATGTGATGCTATGAAAGTTTTTTTTTTTCCACTGTAGCCTCCTCATGCTGTGATCTTATTATTATTATTATTATCCGCAATTATTGGACACTTTTGCTACTCATGTATCTAATATTTAAATCTCACTTCGTCACCGTAATGAACACTGGGATCTTTGCGTTGTGTTGTTTTCTTGGTGCTATATAAACCCCCGGGATATTCATTGATTAACTAATTAAGTAATTCTTCAAAGCATGAGAACAAAAATTCTGACAACTGAGTTAATTATTTATTCATTTTATTACTGAAAAGTAAGTCCTCTTAGAATAAATGGAAGAGTGATGCCATGTTCTGCATTTTCTGCATATCCTTATGCCAAATCAAAGGCACAAGGGTATAGGCCTATCATTCCATTATCAGTCTGGAAATCAGGAAAACCTCAGTTAATTTTTAAAAGCTTTTTCAAATTACTTCCATTATGTCAATTAAAAAAGCCTGACTTGTTATTCCAACACAGAGCTCTTATTCACTGATTATAAGTCAAATAAAATAATGTTTTTGTCGTCATTATTAGGCTTTCATGTTTACTGATAGTCAAGTCAAGTCAACATTATTTAGGCTATATTGCACATTTAGAACAACCGAGGTTGACCAAAGTGCTTAACAGAGTCAAAAGGTTAAACATATATCATAAAATAATGTTGAAATCATTATGAAAATCTGCTGAGCTAAAACATCATGAAATACTAGTTAAAGTCATCGTAAAATATTTTTGGAATAAAGATTATCATTGTGAAGGGAAAGCCATGCACCTCTTTAAAAGTCAATAGCAACATTTTAAAATCATTCCTGTAGGGAACAGTGATCCAGTGGATAGAAAGCACTTTTTTTTTCTGTTAGGAGGCGAGCAGGTGCAATTTGGACCAGCTGCAGGCGTTCAATGGACAACTGGTCCAAACCCACAAACAAAGAATTACAATAATGGAGTCGAGGCATGATAAAAGATATCACCCATAGATAGTTGGGAGGGAGATTGGCTTTTACTTTTGCTATTAGTCTCAGCTGATAGAAGCTCGACTTCACATGGAAGAAATCTGCTTATCAAATTAAAAACATCATCCAAGTAAACCCCAAGACTCTACACAGATGAGTGAACATTAAATGGGTTTGAAATGGTTTCATGAAATAGGGAACAAAGCCCTGGAAGTAAAGACGTACATTTAAATAGTACTCAAATACACTGATGGCACTACAGCACACTTCGGGCACTAGTTCACACAGCAGCCTTCAGCTACCTGTTAGCTCGCCTCTGATACAGTGGCTGAGGCCAAGAGTCGGAATAGGACGATGACACATTAAGCTAAGAAAAGAAAAAGAGAAAATGATCGAGCAAGAAGCAGAGTGTACATTCCTGCAGATATGAATCATAGTGCTGTATTGTGTTGAATGTTGTGGGACAGGGTTTCGATCTTGTCACAGTCACTGAAGAAGAAGTTAAGCAAGTTATTTGCTCCCTAAGAAACTCAAAAAGCAGAGATGCTTCCCATCAGTATTCATCAAAAAACATTCAGCTACTCTAATTCCCCCTATTGCTCATTTAGTAAACCTCTCTATTGCACAAACCTTTTTTCCAAACGAATGGAAACATGCGATTGTGACTCCCATCTTCAAATCCAGGGACCACCATGAAGTCAGTAATTATAGACCTGTAAGCATACTGCCAGTTATCTCTAAGGTTGCAGAGAAAGTGGTCATAAAACAACTAACAGACCACAACAACAGCTGCAACCCTGGTCTAAATCCTGTCCAGTTTGGCTTCAGACAAAGTTACTCTACAGAAACAGCCATCTTACACCTAACAGAGCAAATCAGATCACGTCTTGACAAAGGTGGAGTTGTTGGAGCTGTATTCCTAGACTTGCGTAAAGCCTTTAATATAGTTAATCACAACTTTCTCATATCTAAACTCTCGACTTCAACTTTTCATCTAATACACTTGCATGGATATCATCATACCTATCCAACAGAATGCAGTGTGTGAAAATCAAAGATGTGTGCTCCAGCAACTTGAAGTGCACAATGGCTGTACCTCAAGGATCTGTGTTAGGCCGATTACTTTTTAGTCTCTACATCAATGACCTTCCACAGTATTGTCATGGCGTAGAGGTACAATTATACGCAGATGACACTGTTTTATACACACATGCAACATCAGCTCAGCTAGTAGCTGTGAAACTAGCCAGTGCTCTGGATGGAGTGGTTGAGTGGCTAGATAAATCCTGTCTTACTTTAAATGTAAGCAAAACAAAAGGCATGTTCTTCTCTAAAACCAAGCTGCACACCCCAGATGTAAACCTCTACATTAAGGGTGAACAAATTGAGACTGTCGCTGAATTTAAATATCTTGGTGTTTTACTAGATTCAAATCTCAACTTCAAGAAACACATCAAGAAAATGACAAAAACTATTAAATATAACATGGCAAATTTTAGACAGCTTAGAGCCTGTCTTTCTACAGAGGCTGCTAAGATATTTCTGCATGCCCTCATTTTCTCACAGATCTCATACTGTATCACCTGCTGGGGGCAGGCCTGTACAACAACTATTAGACCTTCAGAATCTTTGGACAAACAGGCTCTGAAAATCTTTGACAATAAGCCATTAAGGTATCACCACTGTGAGATACTACACAAACACAATCTATTAACGTATTTTCAAATCTCTGTACAGTTTACAAAATTTTAAAAGGCTTGGCTCCCACCTGTTTGCGCAAGTTTGTCTGTGACCGTGCCGTTGGCTCTTTAAGGTCCACTAGAATAGCTTCCATATATAACTGAGCTGTACCCTTTCGTTAATCAGCCTTTGGGCAGGCAGCTTTCTCTGTCAAAGCCATTAAACAATGGAAAACTATTCCGGACAATATAAAAAACTGTGGTTTGTTTGGTAGCTTTAAAGCTAATCTAAAAAAATCACTTAAAAACCTCTCAACAATGCACTCACAAATTTTTTTAGTCAACTGCTCCTTATAACTTCTCGTCTCATTCAGTTTTATCTCCACTTGGGGCTGACAAGGTGCGTGTGTCGTGGGTGTGTGTGTGTGGGTGTGTGTGATGCGCGCTGTTCATGCCACTAGACTCTGACTATGTGGTATGGGTGTGTGAGTGTGTGCGCGCCTGTGAAGGACATTTCATGTGTAATACATTGCTATTTGTTACATGTCCTTTACTTGCTGAATGATGTCTTACAACAGTGCAGTTGCACTCATACCTTTGGTTGGCGCCAAAGCGCACCAAACCAAATTTCTACATATTGTTGCTTTAATTAATGCCTGCTGCCTTATGTCTGGTCCACTGTTTCAACAATAGCAATTCTAATGACACTGAGTGTGACTTGTCTTATCTCAGGATTATTTCCTTTTTTTTCATCTATTTCCCCCCCTTGTGGCACTCAAAGTTGTGTCCTGCTTC